AAGTAGAGATTCGAAGAGTGAATGGGAGACGTAGGGAATATAGGCCCTTGGTAGGCTAGCCACCTTTGACAGAAAACACAAAAGCAAAACCTTTCTCATATAGTGCATGGTGATGTATACCTGTCATCCCAGCACCCAGGAGGCAGAAACTCAAGGATTATTGGAGTTCAAGGCCAGTCTGGACTACCTTGCAAGTTCCAGGCTAGGCAAGGAAATACACTGCTATCATGTCTTAAAAAAATAATTAACTTAAAATCTTTAAGTGCGGCCGGGCGGTGGTGGCGCACGCCTTTAATCCCAGCACTCGGGAGGCAGAGCCAGGCGGATCTCTGTGAGTTCGAGGCCAGCCTGGTCTCCAAAGCGAGTTCCAGGAAAGGCGCAAAGCTACACAGAGAAACCCTGTCTCGAAAAAAAAAAAAAAAAATCTTTAAGTGCTATTTTGAAGTTCATTTTTGCAATAGCTTAACCACACCACACCTAGTTGAACTATACATCTCTAGTCTGTCTCTGAGCATGAATTCACAAACTATTCTATTTTAATTTGTTTCTCTAACACCTATCATGGTTTTGCTTTTTTGTTTTGGGAGGTTTATTTGGTTGGTTGATTTGGGGTTGTTTGTTTGTTTGTTTGTGTGTTTGTTTTGGTGTTTACTATGGGCAAATGTTATGCAATTACTAAGGAACTTTGACTATGTACAGATGGAGGGAAAATGTTCGCAAGTTCAAGGTTACCCTTGGCTACAGAGTGAATTTAAGGTCACCTGGGCTACATTAAGCTTTATATAAAACAAATAACTACTATTACCTTCAATGAGTCAGGGATAAAATTTTTCAGCACTGGTGTGCAGTTCTTGCTATTTCATCTTTTAATCATTGTCTTCATTACCTATGTGTAATCCCCAATTTTGCTCAACAAGACAAGAAGTGGAGGAATTTGGAAGTCTTTAGCAATAGGAATTTTTTTTAAAAAGCAGAGATAGGTCAACTGTACATGTTGGCTTATTCCCATAAGCTAAGAATCTGGGCAGCTGAGGGAGGATTGCCAATCTCAAGGCCAATCTCAAGTACCCAGTGAGTTCTGGACCAGCCTGAGATAAGGGATATGGGTGCAGAGTGAGATCCTACCAAAAACAAAACACCAAATTCACAAATCCCAGTGGCAATCTATTGTCAGTTTTTCGAGACAGGGTTTCTCTGTGTAGCTTTGCGCCTTTCCTGGAACTCACTTTGTAGACCAGGCTGGCCTCGAACTCACAGAGATCAGCCTGCCTCTGCCTCCCTCATGCTGGGATTAAAGGTGTGCACCACCACCGCCCTGCGACAAATCTATTGTCTTTAAAAATAGTTCCTGGTGCCAGGTGTGGTGGTGCACACCTTTAATCCCAGCATGAGGAAGGCAGATGCAGATGGGCTTCTGAAAGTTCAAGTCCAGCCTGGTCTATACATAGAGAGAGCTGAAGGACAGCCAGAGCTACATAGAGAGGCGCTGTCTCAACAACACAGGAGCTATTGGCCTCACCCCCATCTCCGTCCCAGAAACTTTCCGTGAGCAGCAGCTGCAGGTCTTCGCTTGCACCCCCTTCCATGGCCTTTCTGGGGGTGCAGCGTGAATCGCTCCAGCCTTCTATGCTTGTCTTCGTGCAACACATTTTGTAACTCCAAGAGATTAGCCCCCCGTAGATGCATGCGGACATTTCTTCTTTACACTTGCCTCTCTCTGGCTACATCTTTTTTGCCCCCTCCCCAAGCACCAGCTTCACCCTAATCCGATTTTTCTATTTCCATTTTCTTTCTCTGCATTTTATCACTGTACCTACCGACTGAAGGCTTTTAGGTAAGAACACACTCTCTTTCTCTAACTGTGTCCAGCAGGACAGCTCAAGTCCCTGTGGCTCTGAATCAAGAATGTGAGCACATTCTTTCTGCCTAAATCATCTTCTGGCTCCACTACCTAAAAGCAGCTGGATTCCGGGCAAGATGCTTCTCCAGATGTTCAAACAATTTGTTTGTTTTTTAATAGAAAAAAGATATTAATGCTCATGATATATGGCTTTGACAGTAGCATAAATATATACCAATCCATTAACTTCCAAAGGGTTGTCCAGGAGCCCTTCCATACATGATACCATAGTGCCATATGTGATGTTCATTGGATGTTCACAACTGATAATGAAAAGGCCTAGGCCACCAGGGTTGCAAAGCAATTTAAGAAGCTTTTACTGCAAACAAAGGGTTGATGTTGTCTGTAAAATTCCTGGAATATATTATGGAAAAGAGGAGGCCATACTTGAAAGTCTTACAGGGTCAGGCCTTAAGCATGATTGCTATTTTAACATTCTACTTTGAAAAAATCTGTTTAAAAGGAATGATTGTCTCTAGCACACATTTGCAGCAAATATATTAGAATTTGTTTTTAATATTCATTTGGTTTTTTGACTGTCCGAAGGTAAGAAGCTTCACTAGACACCAGAGGCTCCTTTATTGGTCAAATGGCCCACAATTTCCCCTTGCTCTACTGCCTGGGGATGTGGCAGGAACACATTGGCAGATGGTTTAGAACAGGTCAGTGGGGTTAAGAAGGAACATGAGTGAACTGGCTAAGACGTCAGGCAAGAAAGCGAGCAAGGAACTGGAGCGAAAGAAGGAGACTTTACCGTTTTCTATTTTTTTTTTTTTCATAGGGATCCCTCTATGTAGCCCTGGCTATCCTGGAGCTCTCTATGTAGCCCTGGAACTCAGACATCCTCCTACCTCTGCCTCCTGAGTGCTAGGATCAAAGACATGCACCACCTCACCTAGCCTTTAGATTTGTTCGTTTTTTCTAGACAAGGTTTCTCAGTGTAGCCTCTGAGGTCCTGGAACTCAGGAGACCAGGCTGGCCTCGAACTCACAGAGACCTGCCTGCCTCTGCCTCCTGAGTGCTGCGATTAAAGGGATGCGCCTCCACAGCCTGGCTAGACTTTTCTTTAATACTTTAACTAAATTAAAAACTTAGTTCTGATGCTTCCTGCGGAAACTGATGTTCCTGCTTTGGGCTCTTAGTCTCATTAATACGATAATTTAAAAACAGACTCAGAAGATCAAGGCCAGTTATTAGAGTTTAAAAGGCAAACAGCACAGGCAAGACATACTACAACCCAAGTAGCCTTGAGAAGCGGGAGAAGAAAAAAAAATCATACTGTTAAGTTAGTCATGGAGGTCAGAAACTGCGTGGCCGACTGAGCAACACACCAGAGTTGAGAGGACACCAAATCCCAGACTCCTGTCTCAGGGCAAAAGACCGCACCAGGGTCACGTGACTGAGGATAACTAGACACACATTATAAAGGTAAAGCACCCCTCTGGGGTGGTGGGCTAGAGTGCTAAGGAAGAGTTTCCAGAAAGCGTATGGCCCCCTGATGGACAGTCCGCCTTTTTCTTAGGCATTTCGCGGGCTTTTTGTTTCTTTTGTATTGGTGCCTGCTCTCTTTCCCAGATGCTATGGTAAAACAGAATTTCCGGCCTTCCTCTTCAATCTAGCATCTTTCATATGTTAATCTTGATGATTCCATCATGTTCAACTTCTGACACATGATTTTCCAATTCGGCTGAACTGTTCAATTTAGTCTTTTCCAATAGAATGTCTTATCCCTTATCTCTCTAACGTCTGTCATCTGTAGGATGTACTCAGCCCTTTACTTTCACTCTGAGCTTTGCTTTCTGGATACTAGACTGCACTGCCTTGGGAACCCTGGGAAGCCTGAGGGTAGGCTGGATCTCTTCTGTTCTTTTCCCTTTCACTGGACAGAAACTTGATTTGCAGTGTAAAAATACATTTTTTACAGGAACTTTTCAACGGTTTGGTATTGAATTGGACGCGAGCTTTATCTTCTGGCATTTCAAAATAGAGCGGATTCTGCCTTAAAAACAAACAAACAAACAAACAATCTAATCTAAAACGTTTAGGAGAAAATGAATTTAATGTAAGGAGAGTTAAGAAGCATAATCGCTCGAAAAATTGTTACAAAATTCAGGTTTAACCAATGGGAAAGGAGACCGTCCTTTGTAACCGCTAACCAATCAAACAGGGCGAATGTAAGTCTTAATTTGCATAAAGCTGTCTACAAATACACAAACAACGTGTCTTCAGACTTCACTTTCTTTTTCCTCCCAAAGAAAGAGATCCCAAGATGCCTGAGCCCGCCAAGTCCGCCCCCGCCCCGAAGAAGGGCTCCAAGAAGGCCGTGACCAAGGCCCAGAAGAAGGACGGCAAGAAGCGCAAGCGCAGCCGCAAGGAGAGCTACTCGGTGTACGTGTACAAGGTGCTGAAGCAGGTGCACCCGGACACGGGCATCTCGTCCAAGGCCATGGGCATCATGAACTCGTTCGTCAACGACATCTTCGAGCGCATCGCGGGCGAGGCGTCGCGCCTGGCGCATTACAACAAGCGCTCGACCATCACGTCCCGGGAGATCCAGACGGCCGTGCGCCTGCTGCTGCCCGGGGAGCTGGCCAAGCACGCCGTGTCCGAGGGCACCAAGGCCGTCACCAAGTACACCAGCTCCAAGTGAGCGGCGGACCTCACCGAAACCCAAAGGCTCTTTTCAGAGCCACCCAACAGTTCACAATTAAGAGCTGTGCACTTCCTGTGTCAGCAGCCAACCCTCTTTACACGAATCTCCCGTTTTTCATGCGACAGTGTTAGTATCCCTCACTTGCTGCTATCAACGCAGGCTCCTTGAGTCTTAGGCACTGTGTTGCAACTAGAGAAGATATTGGAACAATAGCCCCGGAACGATTCATGTTCAGCATCTCATGCTAGGTAAACGTTAGGTTTAACCCTGGTGGCTGCGGAAGGTGGAACACCAGGAAGGGATCTCGGAGCGACCTGACCGAACGCCCGTATTTCCGGGCTTTTGTTTTAAGTATTCCTGGGAAATTCACACTGGCACAGGAAGGCGGAGTGAAACCGTGGGTTTACCACCCGGGTTAGCGAAGCTACATAATTCCATTTTTCTTACCAGTGTCTCCTAATTTCGTTCAAAACGTAAGCTTGTTAATTCGGTGCCTGTTAACCGGCTCTTGGTGACGCTGGGATCGCCATTTTATGCGGCGCCGCCGCCCTGTGTAGACAGCTCGGCTCGGCTGGGCTCGGCTGGGCTCGGATCCGATCGGCTGGGCTCGGCTCAGCTCAGCAGCTCAGCTCGCTGAAAGCGAAAGTCGGCCAGAAGCGCCAGCTCCCGCATCTCTCCCTCTTCTAAGTCCTTTGCCATCCTCACCTCTCCTGGAGCTTTTGAATTTTAAAGACTTTTACATATGAATTGCGTTGTGGGAGAAGCAGCAAGATACCCATTTAAAGAAAAAACAAAACCTCTTTTGTTTACTTTTTTAATTACAGGAAATGGTGAAAGGGGTGTTTATAAAGCTAAAAGGGAAAAATTAGGCAAGCCTAGAAACATTTAATTTCTTTGTTCCTTTTCCTAAACTGCTGGGTTGGTTTTGGTTTTGGTTTTGTTTTTTTAACATCAAGAAAATTCCCAATCCCCTCTCTCGACTTGTTTTGTAAATGTGACCTAACATTCAGCCACATCACTTTATTTACAGTTAAAGCTACAGAATGTTGAGTATGATTCTGTGCCCAGGCTCTGGAGTCTACAGCTTCAGAGTTCAGCAATTTTGGAGCTTTGCGTCCCATCAGGGAGGGACCCTGACCCAACGTGAGCGGAAAAAATATGAAGTAGGATCGATAGCGGGGTGGAACTAAGTCCCTGTTCCAGTGAGCTACAGTCCCGTCTCCAGGCTCTTCCAGGTCGCCTTCCTGAGGCTAGTTAAGTACCTTTATCCCACCTCCCCAGGCCTCTCTTTAAAAGAAGTAAATACAAAGAAACTATCCATTTTAAAGTAACAAAATTGCAGCTGCAGTCCAGGAGATTGCTCAGCGTGTAAAGTTATTTGCTACCAAGCCTGAAGACCCGAGCTGTCTCCACTAAACCCAAAGGGCACTCCCAAAAAATGCCCTCCATCCTACACAGATATTCCATGGCAAGGCAAGTAGGGCACACACAAATTTTTTTCACTGTTTTTAAAAGTTGCAAGTTAACTTTATTCGTTGCTACTTTAGAAATAACGAGCCTCCTGGTGAATTGTTTACATGTCAGAGTTCAAATGTTCAAGGTAACATTTTGTTTGTCTGGCTTTCTTTTCCTTGTGACCAAGTCTTAGTCTTGTAGCACTGGCTACCCTGGAACTCAACTATGAAGTCCAAACTAATCTCCAACTCTCAGCAATCCCCCTGCTTCACCTTCTAATTTTAGGTGGAGGCCACCACACTCTTTAGTGTTATTTTGTTCTTGTTTGCTTTTGTTTTTTGAGACAGAGTCTGGAATCAGAAGACCAAGCTGACCTTAGATTTCCACCTGCCTCTTCCCGATGACCACTGTGATTAAAGGTGTGTACCTCCATACCCACTGTCTGGTTCATTTTTAAAGCATTTCTCACTGAGCCTGCTCAGAGCTTTTCATCCACTGATCTTAATAGCAGAATTGCAGGGCAGTGGTGCTTGCTCCACAAAGTACACCTCATCTAGCACCCATGAAATACAACCTCAGAAGATTCTTCTCGGGATTTTTTTTTTTTGGGGGGGGGGGATTTGTTTGTTTGATTTTTGGTTTTTGCTTGTTTGTTTGTTTTCTTTTCCCACTGTATGAAATCTCCATGACTCCCTCCAGTCTCTGTTCTTTGCAGATTTTCTCTAGGCTTGGCTGGGTTATATAGCAAGATTCTACTATAAAATAAATAAAAACAAAAACAAAAACCACCTTGACTCCAGAGCAGTGAACATCACCTGTTGGGCTTATTCCAGTACTCAAGCTTCTGTTATCTACAAGATCGTGGCCTTTTTAAAATAAGTTCCCATAGGGAAGGATTGGCAGGACAGCTAAATCTAGTAACTTGTGATCCTGATTATCTGAGTTTGATCCCTGGAACTCCGGTAAAGGTGATAAATACACACACAAATAAAAAGTAATAATTTTTTAAGTTCTTAGGGGACACTGATGTTCCTTCTCTGGTGGTATTTTGGAAACATCTGATATGCAAATCAAAGTTAATAAAGCCCTGGACCGTGTGGAATTTTCCTTAAGGGGAAGATGTAAGATTTATATGTCAAACTATGATGTTTATTTTACAGATTAAGAAGTTATAGAAAGCTCCTAAGCAGGAAACTAACAAGTTTGAGTTCTTCAGGTTTCCAAGACTGGACTGATTAGAGGGTTTGGTTTGATTTGGTTTCATTTGGTTTGGTTTGGTTGAAACAGGATAACATGGGCCTTGAACAGAGACTGGCCTTGAACTTTGACCCCTAGCCTCTACCATCTGAGTGCTAGGATTAAAGGATAAACCACCAGGTCTGCTCTTATGTTAGAATCCTGGGCCTGGCTAGAGCTACATCCCCAGCACCCACTCCCCACTCCTCCCATGCCTTCATGCCCTCCCAGAAACTACTATTGATAAAATAAAATACTCATACACATAAAATCTTTTATACATGCACACACATATTATATAGGTATATATTTTAAGTTACAATAAAGGCCCATTATGGGTGGTGTGGTGGGGTGTGGGTAATCCTGGTCAAGAGAATAGAATCTCTGGCCCAGTTGAAAATCTAACACCCCTGGGACCACCCCTAGATAGTTTAACCATAAGCCATGCTAGAGATATATGGAATATTTTTTTCCTTTAATGAGGTGCTGTACTTTTCATTCCCAAACTTCACTCCCTAGCATAATTCCTTCAGGCTGAGCAGCGATGAAGCTTTATTGGATCTACCCACTTCCTGAAACTACTATTGTTTTTTTTTTTTTTTTTTTTTTTTTTCTGTCTCTTTCAGGTGCTGACCAGCACCTAAGTACACTTTTTCTGCAACTTTGAACCTCTTAAGTCCAGCATATGTATGCCTGGAGCCTGCTCTGAGGTCAGATTCCCTGGAACTGGAGTTACAGGTTGAAAGCCACATGTGGGTGATGGGAACCAAATCCTAGAGTCCTGAGTGACTCTTGTGCCGTTTTCCCAGCCCTGCTTTTTCGGGTTCTAACAAAAGCAATTGTTGGCTCAAAAAAAAAAAAAAATGCTAACACAGAAAAACCGTGCTAAAGAAATGGAAAATTGAGGCACGCTTTCTCACACCAGCCCAGCACTTGAGAACCTGAGTCCTGGCCCAATTAGGAGTCAGGCTAACACCACTAAATGAACTTGTTAATAGTCCCACTCACATGGCGCCACACAGCACGACGAGAAAGGTACTTCAACCCTTTTAAGTGAAAAGGTGGGTGGCCCTGAAAAGGGCCTTTGGGGGAAAAGACAGGGACCAAGTTTAGCCGCCGAAGCCGTAGAGCGTGCGGCCCTGGCGCTTGAGCGCGTAGACCACGTCCATGGCGGTGACGGTCTTGCGCTTGGCGTGCTCCGTGTAGGTGACGGCGTCGCGGATCACGTTCTCCAGGAACACCTTCAGCACCCCGCGGGTCTCCTCGTAGATGAGGCCGGAGATGCGCTTGACGCCGCCACGCCGGGCCAGGCGGCGGATGGCGGGCTTGGTGATGCCCTGGATGTTGTCGCGCAGGACCTTGCGGTGGCGCTTGGCGCCGCCCTTGCCCAGGCCCTTCCCGCCTTTGCCGCGGCCAGACATACTGCAAAACTAGCTGAAAGCTTGGTCCACAGTGACTGCAACAGGCCCGCTTCCTGGTTTTTATAATAGCGTGGCGGACCTGTTTGAAAACCTGAAGGGCAGGGGGCGGAAACCACACTCAACTCCCGCCCTTCTGTGCGTTTGTCCTATGAAAGGCTGCAGGAGACAAGGCGGGGCCTGAGACACTAACAAAGCCGGGAGTTAAAATTTAACACATTGTATTACGTGTGTCTGTCCAGTTCTTTCAGCCTTCTATAGCGGCAATGTATGTGTTATCAACAAATACGTTTGGCGTTTGTTGCTCATTTCACTAAATAGGAATGCATTATTATTTCTCCACGTCACCGCGTTTCTCAACCTTTTTTTTTTTTTTTTTTAATTTTCGAGACAGGGTTTCTCTGTGTAGCTTTGCGCCTTTCCTGGTTCTCATTCTAGATCAGGCTGGCCTCGAGCTTCTCAACTCTGAGTCGCGAAGAAGCAACAAAATAATTTCAAGGTGGGGGAGCCGGGCACCACAACATGGGGAGCTATTGTTAAAAGGTCTCAGCATTAGGGACGTTGAGAAACACTGCGTCGAAGAGGTTTTAAGTACAGTTTTAAGAACACATGTATCCGGTTCTAAGACTGTTTCTACTGACTTACGTATGCCTAGGGCTCTGAGCAGTGTTCTTTAGTACGCAGGCTGATCCGGGGAAGTGAAAACTCAAATGGTTACATGACCTGAGGTCTAAAAGATTAAAAGATGTACTGGATATTCATCCCACAGGTGTGAATCTTCTGCTTGACTTACACATAGAAATCAAGGGTTCTGGAAATGATCGTGGGGGCTTCTTTCTTTTTTTATTTCGCCTTCATTGAATCTCAGAATTTCCTGCATGTATGGTTTTCTAAGAAACATCACATGCTTGTTGGAATAAAAATCACGTTCCTGATAATGAGTCACTGGAAATGTGTAAGAGTCTGTAAATGAATGGTACTACTATTATGTTTGTCCTTCAATTATTATTACAGGATTTTTGAAGAGAAATAGTAAAACTAAGTTTCAGTCCTTCTAGGAATAGACATGAAACCTTATACAGATTAAATGAAGTCTGTATCTTTAATAAAGCAGAGATGTCTGTAAGGACATGGGGTGAATAACCTCTATGTATGAACTGATATTCCTATTGAATCAGCTTTGAAATTTCTCAAAATAGACAGGAGAGTGCCAGAGACACAGCGCTTGCTTCTCTAGGAGACTGAGTCACTATCATTCTTCCACTCTGTTCTGGGAGGTATGTAGGATTGTTACCCTAATTTTATAGTCCCTTTTATATGTCTTATGAGTATATAGATCTCTTCATTTCTATTCCTTGATAAGCAATGCTCTGTCTTCTGATTTGGTACGGAAGAATCAATCTGGTGTCAAAATTGTTTAAATCTATCAAACATAAAAGAGACTATAGGAAATATCATATTCCTTCATTTTCTCATAAGCAGAATTATCCTAGGAACAATGAACAATGGATTATCTACATAGGTCAACACACTGGTATTTCCCAAAGGATCCCACATTTTTGTGTCCAGGAATAAAGAGTTGAGCAGATACACACAATCACAGCAAAAGCAAGGACAGTTTGTTAAGAGGGAGTATACATACACAGAAGGGAGCCGACCAGAGCAAAAAAAGTGCAGACCCCCCAAAGACCTACTGTACAAAGAGTTGGGGTTTGTATCTCATAAATAGCTCTAGGATCATCTGTATAGCGTGGGCTTTCTCACTGTGCTGTTCCAAACAGTTTTACAGCTTCCTACATTGCATGTCTCATTACTATTCCAAATCTCCACCAAGTGGTGTGTTTTTCAGGTCACCTTAAGACTTTATAAAGTGCCCCTTCTCCTTCAAGTGTGACAGATGTGGTGAGGGCCTGAAAGACATTTTCCAAACTTCCTCCATACCACCTTGGGGTTTTTGTTGTTGTTTTCATATGCTAATTTTTCAACTTTGAGGCAAGGCCTTCCCAACTTCTCTCACCACCCTATCTCTGGTCCCAGCACAACCACCATTGATGGGAAACCTAAATAATGACTGATGAATTTAGTGGAAATTCACCAAATATGACAGACTGCTTCAGGTAACGAAAGCAAGAATGGAAGTGCCTTGCAATCAAAGGATGGCAACATTACTTTTTTCCAAAGAAGAAAGGAATATCCACATGATCTCAGTGTGACCTTCGAAAACAGAGTGGTAAAGCCTCTCTGAAGACAGGGGGAGCGTATCAGTCTGTGGAGTTGCTCCCTACATTTAGAGGACTGTCCTCCCTATCACTCTCATTTTTTAAATTTTCTTTCTTCTGCTGTAATAAAGACTATTATTAAAAGCAACTTCGAATTATTTCAGGTTACAACTCTTAGGTTACACTCCATCAGTAGAGAAGTCAGGTCAAGAACTCAAGACAGGAACACGAAGACAGGAAGAGAACACGTGAGTATCGCTTACTGGCTTGCTTCCCATGGTTCACTCAGCCTGCTTCCACACACAACCCAAGACTACCTGCTCAATGCTGGCACTGCCCACAGAGAGCAGTAACCTACCATATCAATCATCAATCAAGAGAATGGCCTCCAGGCCAGTGTGCAATGTGCTAGAGGCGTTTCCTCTACTGAGTTTCCTCTTGCCAGATAACTACAGTTTACATCAGTTGACAAAAACCAACCAGGACACTAGCCGTCCTGCACCTCTCTTCCCCGTGAAGCTCCCATCCTCTTCCAACTCCGTAATCTTCCTGGTCTGTCATTTCCTAGAAATCATCACCTATCAAGTATCCTTCAGGAACCAGATATCAGACATGTCAGATTCATGATGGTTCCCAGTAAATGTGTTCTTTTCTGGCTGTTCTTCTTTCGTCTTATCTTTTCATTTTATTTTTTTTTAATTTGTTTTATTTATTAGCAGGGAAGTCATGGTATGCCTGTGGAGGACAGGGAACGACTTTTCAGAGTCAGTGCCTTCCTTTGTGCTGTGGGGTCCTGGGATCGAACTCTGGTCCTCAGGTGTGTGCAGGAGCTCCTGTAACAGAGGAGTGTCTCAGGAGCTCCTGTAACAGAGTGTCTCGGGAGCTCCTGTAACAGAGTGTCTCGGGAGCTCCTGTAACAGAGTGTCTCGGGAGCTCCTGTAACAGAGTGTCTCGGGAGCTCCTGTAACAGAGTGTCTCGGGAGCTCCTGGTCTTTCTCCCTTCGAGGAGTTCGGAGTCAGCCTTTGCCTTCCAACTTGAATTCTCACTCATGACAGAAATGCCACGGTAAGTTCTTTTCTGCCTCATTGCTTGTATTCTTTTTTATCTCCTCTTTTTTTTATTATTAAGAAATTTTTCTTCATTTTACAAACCACAGATCCCCCTCTTCGCTCCTCCCACCCCGCCAGCCTCCCCCCTTATCTTCTCATTTTTGTCTCATCTGCTGTCACGAGTTTCTGTGCACAGCTGTCACTAAAGTGAGAATCCTCGTTATGTCAATAGTCTCCTCAACCTGTAATGTGAATAAATGTTAAATGTCTGAAGCATCATTATCTTCTAGATTTCCCTGGGAGAATATTTCATTGAAAGGAGCTTCACTCGTTGTTCCCTGGGCAGTGTCAGTGTCCATCCTCAGATGCCACGGCAATGGCACAGCTGGATGGGTGATGATGGTATGAGAAGGGAGTCCCGGAAGGTGGACTCCAAAGCCTGTTCCCGTGCTGCCCATCACTGGGACGTCTCACCTGTCCATAGTCCCAGTCTACAGATGGTGTGCTGCAACATCCACACCGCAATGACTGTGGCTGTACTGAAGACACACTGAGCTGGTATCTTTTTTTTTTTGTTATTTTTTGTCTTTTTTTTTTTTTTTTCCAGAGCTGAGGACCGAACCCAGGGCCTTACGCTTGCTAGGCAAGTGCTCTACCACTGAGCTAAATCCCCAACCGCATGAGCTGGTGTCTTATAGAAACCATTTGCATTGTTTTTCATTTTTTATTCTGTTTGTTGTCCTTGTATTTTAATGTCTGGTTTTGCTGCACTACACAAAGGAATGCACTATTTGATGATTTTGGTGGATCAAAGACAACTGTGAGACCCTGGTTCCTTAGACTTTATTCCCAGCAGTTTTCACTTCACAGCTCCTGGGAGAGAGCCGCTTACAGCTGCTTCAAAATAAGAATAAGAACAGTTTAATGGGTGAAGAATATCGTATCACCTTATGCCATCAAGCTGTCTGCGACTCAGGTCAACAGGAAGCACAAACTATATTGCATTCCCCGTAAGTGCAATCCTTTCCTTTTCAGTGAGGACTGCCAAGGTTTCGGATTTACTGTGGATCCAGTTCTGCCCTGGAATTCCCCATGCTCCTGCCTCTGCCTCCAAAGTACTGAGGTTACAGGCAGCCAAAATGATGCCTGGCCATATTTCCTTGCTTAAACATAAAATGAAGTACTGAGTATATAGCAAAGTTGTTATAAGTCATATATATTATATGATTTTATATATATGTTCACATGTTCCATGATCCTCTTACTTGAGCACTTTGCCAAAGTTTATCTCCCCTGCGTCAAGACGGCCAAGCTGCACAGCCAAAGACTTGAACATTTTAATAACTAATTTCCTCCAATATAATCAATTTAAAAGGAGTCATTTATTAAATCTTCATTTTAAAGAAATCCAACGTTTTCTTTCCTACTTCATGCCCTCCTCATATCTCTCGAAGTCAGCTGGTGCAAACAATCCCAGCTACTCTCGGAAGATAACTGTTCATTGTATTTCTAGTTTTCCTACAAAAAAAAAAAAAAAAAAAAAAAAAAGACTTTGATCACTGGAAACCCCAAAATAAACCCAACCTACAAACAGTTAACAAAAGACCAACGAAATGATTATTCTGGTCCAATAGAATTTTCATATCAGAAAGAAGTAATGGGTATCTGTTACTGTAATGATTGTGGGGTATTAATGGAAAAGCTTACTTTTTAAAACACAAAGCAAGACCCATGCCTCCTTCCAGATTGCTTCATCCAACCATAGTGGAGGAAGGGTGCCTGGTCTCACTGTAGCTTAATGTAACATGACTGGCTGATAGCCACAGAATGCCCACCTGTATCTAACTAGACAGCGAAGGAGGCATGGATAAGAAGTGGGATGGGGTGGTTTGGGGTCTGAAAACCCTAGAATGTGTGATTGACTGGAGAGCCCACAACTAAATAAACAAGCAGAAATTTTTTTAAGCAATAAGTTGCCTCTTGACTCTGTGGAAGACTCCAGGACTTTGATAAAACTGTATTAGTTTGCTTCGTATTGTTTGATAAAACAACGACCAAAACCAGTTTGTGGAGGAAAGGGTTTATTTGACTCACATTTCCCCATCACAGTCCATCATTGAGAGAAATCAGGGACAGAATTCAAGACAAGAATCTGGAGACAGAAACAGAATCAGAGACCATGGAGGAAAGCTGCTTACTGGCTTGCTCAGCCTGAGCCCATGACCATGTGCCCAGGGGTGGCACCACCAACAGTGAGCTATGCTGTCCCACATCATTAATGGGGAAAATGTGGTAGACTTGCCTACAGGCCTTTCTGATGAAGATATTCCTTGGGATGAGCTTTCTTCTCCCTGAGTGACCCTTTGTTTGGGTCAAGTTGACCAAACAATATCCAGCACAATGGCTTGGGACTTTTTAACACTGGAGAAATCAAACATGAAGCTCTCAAAACTGCAGCAATCCAGAGTAAAAATCAGTGGTCTTCCTCGGGATTTTCATACCTCCTCTGAATTCTGCTTTAATTTGAAATTATGTCTACTTATGTGTCTGTGTGTGGGTGTGTGCACCAGAGGGCAGGTGCCACAGGACAAAAGATGCATAGGTTCCTTCAGGAGTTGGAACTACAGGCAAATTTTCACCTGACATGGAAGCAAACAAGAGTCCTTTGCAAGAGCAGAATGTGCTCTTAACAAGCCATCTCTTATCTTTTTCTTTCTTTCCCTTTTGAGACAAGGAAACTAGCACAGGCGAAGTCTAGAATTCATTTTATAGCCCAGGTTGGTCTCCAGCTTCCAATTGCCCTGCCTCACAGGAATGACTGAGTTATTAGCCTGAGTTATAACCCATTTCAGAGTTCTAAAAGTGTACATGAGTGCAGCCACCGTGAGCTGGGGACCTATCTGAAAGCACTGCCCTTAATTCTGGCTGGTTGCACCCTGGCAGCTCAGTAAGTTATCACTCAAGACAAGGAAGGCCTCCAAGTCCTCCCAGCTTAAGCGTCTCTCCAGGGGCACTGCGTATTTCAAAGAAAATTGTGGCCTGGATTAGCCATGCTCAAAAAGGCAGCAGAGCTGGCAGATAAGAGCTCGGACAGGTGAATCAACTTGGAGTAAAAATGATTCATAAGGGCAGAGTTCTAACGACTTGGCTCCAAAGCCTCCACGAAACGTCAAAGGCCCAGTTAACAGTCAAGGAATGGAAGCACACAGGTGTGGCTACCTGAGTAAAAGTAAACCAATAGAGAATAAGAACAGCAACTCCAAATGCTAATATGCAGAGGACAGAGATTTGGATGTATAAAATCCCTTTACAGACCTAATAGAGTGCCGAGACGACCATAGGTCAGTAGCAGCTAATGGAGGGCTTAGAGTGGAGACTGGGGGTGTCAGCAGTATGCACTCTTTTAGGGAAAATGTGGGTGGCTCTGAAAAGAGCCTTTGGGTTCAGCGCTGCACTCACTAGCCTTTACGCCCTCTCCCCGCGGATGCGGCGGGCCAGCTGGATGTCCTTCGGCATGATGGTGACCCGCTTGGCGTGGATGGCGCACAGGTTGGTGTCCTCGAACAGACCCACCAGGTAGGCCTCGCAGGCCTCCTGCAGCGCCATCACGGCCGAGCTCTGGAAGCGCAGGTCGGTCTTGAAGTCCTGCGCGATCTCGCGCACCAGGCGCTGGAACGGCAGCTTGCGGATCAGCAGCTCGGTGGACTTCTGGTAGCGCCGGATCTCGCGCAGCGCCACGGTGCCGGGCCGGTAGCGGTGCGGCTTCTTCACGCCGCCGGTGGCCGGGGCGCTCTTGCGGGCGGCCTTGGTGGCCAGCTGCTTGCGCGGGGCCTTGCCGCCGGTGGACTTGCGGGCCGTCTGCTTGGTGCGAGCCATAGTAAGAAGAGACTAAGAGAAATCTCAGGCAAACAGAAGCCTGACGGAATGGGGCCCGAGTACATATATATAAAGCGAGCGAGCCCCGTTCTCATTGGACCACAAAGGAACATTAGACTGGGACCGTATTGGTAGCTCTGCTCCTATCACTCTCCCTGACCCGCCCCATTCATTTAAATATTTTCCCTTGCTCTGGCTTTCCACTTTTAGGTCCTTACAGCTTTCGCCAAAGAATGTACTATCCAGTTTCCTACAAAATCATTATTACTTATTGGAAGGACACGGGCTGTATGCTTGCTAACGTTTTTAAAATTGGGGGCCAGAAACTTAATGTTTTGAAAGGCACCAGCTATAGGCAATTGGTCAAGTGATTATTTTTTTTCCCCCTATGGAAACGTAGAAGCAAAAGGTAAATATGAAAATACCTTACTTAAATGTTCAGGGGGACTTTGTCATGAATGAGGCTTTCTTATGAACCTAATGAGCATTAACAGTGATTCCCTACTTTCAAGCCTGATTTTAACTTGGATAAATGAGCACTTTTCCCAGAAACAAAAGTAGAAGGAATCCCCCCCCCCCAAAAAAAATAGCTGGGGGGAAGAAAAACGCATACTCTAACGGAAAGACTGCTGTTTAACGTCTAGTTGCAGTGCACATTGCAAAAAAATCAGTATAAACTACTAGCAGGAGTACTCATAAGGACAGATAGGCACCTTGGGGAATCTTCAGTATGAAAAGCGCCCAGGAAGAGCTTCAAAAGTTTCAAAACACTTTTAAGGAAGTAAGCTTTATCAGAATGTTAACATTTACATGCAACTTGTTGAGATCTCATTACATGTACTACACAAGTTAAAATTCTTCAACTGGAAGAGGCGCCTTAATGTGGACAGTGCAACTGGAACGCTATATTGTAGTGACTAGTAAAGCCAGCAGAAAGCTCTTTTCAAGAGAAAGTGGTGGCTCTGAAAAGAGCCTTTGTTGTTACAGTAAAAATCAGTGTGATGAAAAGCTGCTCTTATTTTCCCTTGGCCTTGTGGTGGCTCTCGGTCTTCTTGGGCAGCAGCACCGCCTGGATGTTGGGCAGGACGCCGCCCTGCGCGATGGTCACGCGGCCCAGCAGCTTGTTGAGCTCCTCGTCGTTGCGGATGGCCAGCTGCAGGTGGCGCGGGATGATGCGCGTCTTCTTGTTGTCGCGGGCCGCGTTGCCAGCCAGCTCCAGGATCTCGGCCGTCAGGTACTCCAGCACTGCCGCCAGGTAGACCGGGGCGCCGGCGCCCACCCGCTCCGAGTAGTTGCCCTTGCGGAGGAGCCGGTGCACGCGGCCCACGGGGAACTGCAGGCCGGCGCGGGACGAGCGGGTCTTGGCCTTGGCGCGAGCCTTGCCGCCCTGCTTGCCGCGTCCAGACATTGCAAAACAGATCAGGAGGAATAGAAAAGAACTAAAAAGGCTTCGCAAAATTCATTCCTGAATTGCAATGAGAAGGTACTTATAAAGGGAGATGGAAGTGAAAAACGTGAAGTTTGATTGGCTAAAATTATCTTTATCGCTCCAGCCAATACGAGAAGACACATAATAAGATCTAATTTGCATAATGGTGTCACTAACTGGTTTTCAAATCATAGCTGACTATTCTTGAATCGCTTATTTGCATAGAAGGTCTATAAAAGCCCAGCCACTAGAACACTGACAGACGGTATTTTCTGTTTCTCCTTTTCCCATTTTAGTTGTTAATATGCCTGAGCCGGCGAAGTCCGCCCCCGCCCCGAAGAAGGGCTCCAAGAAGGCCGTGACCAAGGCCCAGAAGAAGGACGGCAAGAAGCGCAAGCGTAGCCGCAAGGAGAGCTACTCGGTGTACGTGTACAAGGTGCTGAAGCAGGTGCACCCCGACACGGGCATCTCGTCCAAGGCCATGGGCATCATGAACTCGTTCGTCAACGACATCTTCGAGCGCATCGCGGGCGAGGCGTCGCGCCTGGCGCATTACAACAAGCGCTCGACCATCACGTCCCGGGAGATCCAGACGGCCGTGCGCCTGCTGCTGCCCGGGGAGCTGGCCAAGCACGCCGTGTCCGAGGGCACCAAGGCCGTCACCAAGTACACCAGCTCCAAGTGAGCGGCGGACCTCGCCGAAACCCAAAGGCTCTTTTCAGAGCCACCCATGTTGTCATAGAGCGGTTGTAATGCTTGAATTCAACTCATCTTAGGCAAAGAAGCAAAATGGCAGTTTTATGTAAGTACATGTTCCTGATTTTTAGAATGTTTAATTCTACAGTAAACATCAGCATCCGAGAATTCAGTCGAATGGCTTCAGCCCTTTACGGCCTGCGTGTTTAATGTGCACCATGTCCAGCAACAAACTCCAGATATTTGTCTGGCATGGTAATGCCTTACTGGCATTAAGTTTCAGGAAAGTCTACTTCCCAAAGCTAATAATGGACTTGGTCTGGGAGTATAGACCAGAAATTCTAGAGTTGAATGACCACAGCTCCCTCTTTGAGAAGGTGGGTGCCTCTGTGTAGCCTGGGCTATCCTGGAACTTGCTCTGTAGACCAGGCTGGTCTCAAATCAGAGATCTGCCTGTCTCTGCCTCCAGGATTTAAAGAATCATCCTGTCACTGGGTTCAAAGGATTGAGACACCACTTCCAGGGATTCTAAAAGTTCTTGAAGCATTTGCCTAACATACTCAAGAGCCTGGCTTTCATTTCCAAACAATAAATAAACAAGGAGTCAGGTCCAATATCATAGATTCAAAATACATTTTGCAATATTTTCAATGAGTTTCTCACTTTGAGAAGTTATTTCCTCATCTCAAAGCCAGTGGAAAAAACCTTATTTTTTTCAGTAAGTCTTTTGCCCCATCTGGCTCTGCTTCTTCCTGCCCTAGTCCAAAGCTCGGGACACTGCTGAATCCTTTCCCAGACAAAGCCTTTACCAGTTTCTAGAGATTACTTCGGAAGTTTTAGGAGTCGAGTGTCAGCATGTTCCGTTTCAGCACAGCTAAGTGGTTACAGGTACTTTCAACTCCTGAGTTCCAGCCACCATCAATGCCCAACCCTGTATGTAAAAGGCCCAAAGTTTCTGGACACAATAAAAATTGTTTAAAAAGCTGTGGTTGCATTTAATTGAACGGCTCAATTTGCTGTAATGTTTAAGTGATAATTTTACACTAGGATCCTAAATTCTTTAACCCCTGTAAATGCCAACTCCCAGAACGCTAGCAACTGTCCACACACTGTAGAATTTCAGGTACAAACTCAAAAGGTTCCTGGCTGCGGTTTACAGTAAATTCACAAAACAGAAACTGAGAAACATTAAGTGAATGTCTAAAAACCTAAGGGAAACTTAAATGTCCTCAGCCTTGAATTTGGGCAAATGCGTCACTTCATTTACTTAAGGCCAAATTAAGTGCCACACAAAGACACCAATTACAACCCTGTTTTGATAGAGTGGGTGGCTCTGAAAAGAGCCTTTGGGTTTCGGTGAGGTCCGCCGCTCACTTGGAGCTGGTGTACTTGGTGACGGCCTTGGTGCCCTCGGACACGGCGTGCTTGGCCAGCTCCCCGGGCAGCAGCAGGCGCACGGCCGTCTGGATCTCCCGGGACGTGATGGTCGAGCGCTTGTTGTAATGCGCCAGGCGCGACGCCTCGCCCGCGATGCGCTCGAAGATGTCGTTGACGAACGAGTTCATGATGCCCATGGCCTTGGACGAGATGCCCGTGTCGGGGTGCACCTGCTTCAGCACCTTGTACACGTACACCGAGTAGCTCTCCTTGCGGCTGCGCTTGCGCTTCTTGCCGTCCTTCTTCTGGGCCTTGGTCACGGCCTTCTTGGAGCCCTTCTTCGGGGCAGGGGCGGACTTCGCGGGCTCAGGCATGTTTCACAAATGCTTGTCACCTAAAGGACAGATGTAAGAAGTTGTGCAATTGCCCCATTTATTTATAGGGCTTCCATGCAAATATGGTACGAAATTTGACAGGTTTTCATTGGGTAAATTGTAAGGGAAGGATCCACTATGCAAAATAGGACCTCTGATTCTGACTTCTTATTGGCTGAGTCTTCTAGATTACTTTAGCCAATGACAACCGCAAATTACAATCTACCCTGCAAGTATAACTTGCACATTTCTGGCAAATAACTTCACATTGCCTTTTCAATTCTCCTAAACATGTCTGGACGCGGCAAGCAGGGCGGCAAGGCTCGCGCCAAGGCCAAGACCCGCTCGTCCCGCGCCGGCCTGCAGTTCCCCGTGGGCCGCGTGCACCGGCTCCTCCGCAAGGGCAACTACTCGGAGCGGGTGGGCGCCGGCGCCCCGGTCTACCTGGCGGCCGTGCTGGAGTACCTGACGGCCGAGATCCTGGAGCTGGCTGGCAACGCGGCCCGCGACAACAAGAAGACGCGCATCATCCCGCGCCACCTGCAGCTGGCCATCCGCAACGACGAGGAGCTCAACAAGCTGCTGGGCCGCGTGACCATCGCGCAGGGCGGCGTCCTGCCCAACATCCAGGCGGTGCTGCTGCCCAAGAAGACCGAGAGCCACCACAAGGCCAAGGGAAAATAAGAGCAGTGAGCACAGCTTTTTTTTTTTTTTTTTTAAATCCAAAGGCTCTTTTCAGAGCCACCCACTTTTTTCAGTAGAAGTGCTGAGATGCTACAAGCGAGTCTTGGGCAAGTTTGCTGTTGTTGTATTCATTTCTGGTGTTAACTTAGTATCCTAAGGATTTGATTCTCACTAGTAAGGGAGTTGCACTTTTCTAAAATGTCTTCTACCTTCCCCAGTGGAGGTGTGGTTTCCTCACAAGTTAGTCAGATTACCCTCCAAAACAGAATTGTCTGTCTTATGTGCTGTGTGCACATATGACCCAAAGGACCATGAGATGCGGTTCTTCGAGGGTTATGAAGGCGTCCGTAGGACACTTTGGACTTAGGATTTTTGCCAAGGTGATACTTAAGGTATGTGGTATGCTCATGACGTCCTGACAGAGTTAGGGTAATTAAGCCAAAAATAAAGAACAAAGAGGAAAGCCCTGCCAACAGCTTATTAGAGGGTTTGTTTGGGGGGTTTTCTTGTTGTTAGTCTTCTGTTTTCAAGACAGCCTCTTACTATGCAGCTCTGGCTGTCCTAGTACTTACTAATTAGATTGTGTTGGCTTCGACCTCCCAGAGATCCTCCTGCCTCCACCTCCCTATAGCTGGATTTAAAGGCATGGCCTACTACACAAGGCCAATGGACGGTTTGGGGTTTTTATCAGTCTAAAGGAAAAAAGGACTCAAAGCCAGTATTAATTGAAGCAAAAGTGGACTTATAATTTTGTTTTAATTGTTCAGTCAGTCGAATAATTCTATTTCATTACCCCTGAAAGTTGGTCAGTTCATAGACTGAGACTAAAAATTGTAAGGATTCAAAATTGTGGTCTGAAATGGCAAAGTACTGTCCAGGTGCTGCTGCTTCTTTAATACTCGTTTTATTTTATTTCTATTTATGTGAAAGCATGTGCGTGCCACACGTATTTGAACTGCCAGGCAGACTTGGGTACTGGATTCCAACTCAGATCCTCGGGAGGAGCAAGTGCTCTTAGCTGCTGAGCCATCTGCACAACTCCAGTGTACAAATCTATTTTATTTATGTATTCATCCATTCAATCATTCATTGATAGTATCACTACAGCACTGGCTGCCCTGGAACTTAACCTTGTAGCCCTGATTAGCTTCAAAGTCACAGCAATCCTACTAGTTCAAACTACTTTATTCTGGGAATACAGGCATGAGTCACCTTACCCAGATGAGGGTTAAATATATTGACAGGACCAGAGATGTGAGTGGAATGGTTTCTAGGTGTTGATTATGAAAGGGAGCAGTGGACATTGATGGGCTTCAGTCTTCACAAACCTTGAAACCTCTACAACAGCTATCACTGGCAAACTCTAGGAAAAGCAAAGGAAATCAATTTGTAATGGAATTCCAATCCAGCAGGTAGGCCTCAGTAGCCTGCACAGTAAAGGCCTACCTTTTGTCAAAGAAAACAACAACCAAAAAAAAAAAAAAAAACAAACAAACCTGTGCCTTTACTTTATGACAGTTATCCAGGTGTAAAATGCAAACAATTAAGCAAGTTCCAAGTACATAAGAGATATGTTTCTACTATGTACTTCCTAACCGAGGAAATCACTAGAAAGCTCTAAATAGCTCAAAAGAACATAGGTTGTCAAGTATAATTGTGTAATTGGCAGAGCAGTTGAAATATGGCTAAACAGACAAATATTTATCAGAAATTATTAGTCCGGTGGCCTGCCTCTATTGCAATCTTTGCATTATTTTATTCTATGGGACAAAAATAATTGTACTTTTTAATGGGAAAAAAAATCCATCCCCATTAACAGGATCTTTCAAGTGAAAAATCTAAATGCACAGATGTGGGAGCCTTAACAAATAAATAAAACAGAGTCCCTAGAATATTCTTGAAAACCATCAGCAAGCCTTTTACCCTAAGCATTCATGTGACACACAAGGAAACACAGTCCACAATTACCTTAATTCCAAGAGTCAAATATTTCTCCACAGAACTAACAGCTGCCCCATGGTACCCAGAGTCTCTTTCTTGATGTCCATCAGATGAAGAATCAACTTTCCTAACTGCATTTTCCACCTTCCCTCATGCAAACAATGACAGTGTAACATGGGGGGAAACGGGGCAGGGCGGTTACTAGTGTTCAATTTCCAAAACTAAGAAACATAAAAAGGCCAGAACCTTCACAGCCCTGTCTTTGACTTCAATCAAGTCAATGGCATATTCCTTTGATTCATTATTTTAAATGGGTAAAATTGAGGTAGTATAAGAAGAGAGGAACCTCACCCTTACCTACCTGATCCTCATGTGCATCTCTTGTTGAGTAAGACTGTCCCCATCGTTAATTAGAGACTGCCCAATCCTCAAACAACACAGAAAGTATCTGAACAGTTTTGAGATGAATTGTGAACCATCCTCAGGATGAGAATGTGTCTTAACCTTACCCATAGCCCTTATATACAAAAATTACTGTGTTTGGTTAGTTGGTTTTGGTTTTTGGTTTTTTGGTTTTTTTGAAACAGGGTTTCTCTGAGTAGCCCTGGCTGTCCTAGAACTCATTTTGAAGACCAGGCTATCCTCAAATTCAGAGATCTGCCTGCCTTTGCCTCCCAAGTGCTAAGATTAAAGGTGTGCACCACCAACCATCTCAGGGCTACTTTCTAATTTTTTTATTTCTGTTTTTGCCTCGACTATACATTTCTTCATCATTTCAAGGTCTGTACAATAAATTCATAGATGACCTTATAATTAAATAACTTTTAAAATATAAATCAAAGAGTATATTTACTTAATTGGCTTTCAAATTAATTTTAATATTAATATGCCTTTCCAGTGACAAATCACTCTTCACACTTAGAGATTATTAAAGGGGAAAAAACCTCCTTAATATATATGGCACATGCCAACTCTGACTAATAATGCTGGCCATAAATAGAAGATTCTCCTAACTTTTATACACTTTAGAATTATGCATTTCACATATTGTCATCCTTAGAATTCTTTCAGGTCCTAGCCTCAGGTTACACTTTGAACAATTTAAACAGAGGCAGGAGACTGCAAGTCTGGCTACGTGGGCAGATGAAAGATTTAGAGCAGAGATATTGTCAGAATTATTTCTGAAGTACAGCAGTGTCACCCATGTTCTTCTTGCCCATCTAGCAGAATTAAGCTTTTCCTGAATAAGAGCACAGGAGCAGCCCGGGTCTTAATGGTGGTCCTGATTCTGCACTGCCCCCTAGAGCTGCTGGATGAGCATAATGGCTGGTTGTAAATGCCTTCTTTTGTCATGGGAATGCAACCTAATTGGAGGTGAATCTTGATGAACAAACATTAGCATCGTATGGTAACTTTTGCTTATCTCTAATAGGCCTGGTTAGCATATTACTAACCTATGAGGTGTTTTGGAAGTAGTGCACCCTTAGCTAAATTCTACTTTGTGTGACTTAATGTCTCTCTCCTAAGCAAATCTATTAGCAAATATATTAATAAATCCTTTAGGCATCATTTCTATCACTTCGAGTTTCTTCTACATCACATCAATGAAAGGAGTAAAAGCTTTGAAGGCCTCAAACCATTTCAGAAACTGAAATGTTGTGTAGAATTTCTTGAACAAGGATAAAATGTTGCTAACCTGCAGTGAAACACAATGACCGACCAATAATCTTCGAAGTTCTCAGGTTTTGTTGTTACATTTTTGTTTATGTATTTAGTGTTGTACCCACCCCCAAAAGCTGATATGATGACCAGAGGACAGCCTGATGGATTCTGTTCTCCTCCTCCACCATGCAGCTTCCACGGGTTTCAACTAAACTCCTAAGGTTTGGGTGCAAAAGCCCCCACCTGATGAAGCAGCTTGCCACCTCTCATCTTTGGAGTGCTGTCCATGCCATTAATCACAAATATCTTGCATTGCTACCCAATTAAATACTATAGTTAAAAAGCAATTCAGTGTTTGATTATATCAATAGTAAAGACAAAAATGAGGAAGTATATTCCTCTACAATACCAATGTGGTCTTACCCTTTCCATACTATACTGTACAACAGAGTCCTCCACATTTCCCTGTTTTGAGATGTTTTGTCCAAACTTTACATCTTTACTAGGAAAAAATATATAAGAAGAAAAAAAACAGTAACAAAGTGTCTGAATCCTCCTATACTTGTAATGTTCCCCCACAAAGTGGGGAGCATTGAGATCTGGTCAGTGTCCATATGTCCACATCTTCACAGTTTTCCAGGCGGCCTCCTCCCCCTTCCTACACATCCCTGCCATTTCTCATATTACAGTACTTGGGCTAAACCTTTTGAAGCCACTGAGTCTGTGTGCAGGCACAGGAAAGTGCTCCCAGAAGGAAAAGCCTCAGTGTCTGTTACTCTGAGAACTCCAAAATGTCAGATAATGCCCATCTTGCTGACATTCCATTTTTGAAGAATTCAAATGTTAATGAAGGTCCTTGCTGCTACATCTCTTCATGTCTTGATAAACAAATGTATGGTTAGGATCGACCCTTTGTTTTCCAACAAAATTGACATACTGTGCATATTTCAGAGTACTTACTAAGTCAGGCCGTAGAACCCAACTAGACTCGGTTCTTTTTTTACACTGTAGCCATGCCACTTTGATTGAACGTGTTCAAATGATTTTTCAAAGAGAAGTCAGGGATCCATGCATTTCAGGCATACATTTCAAACACAAACCACCACAACATTTCATACACTTAACCATAAACTTTAAGCAAATCAAATGTTCAAGATACATACTAGCCTCCTGGGTACAACCGTTTCAGTGCTGGGCTGACCAGAAATCTGTAACACAATAAAGAGGGATGACTGAAGTTAGGAAACGGAGCAGGGGCTGGAGAGATGGCCCAGAGACCTGGGGTTATATTCCCAACAACGACATACAGCCGTCTACACCCCATTGCGGGGAGTTTGACTCCTTCTTCTGTCCTCTACCCAGACTGCATGTACCTGGTGAACACGCATGCAACCAAAACACCCATACATATAAAATTAATTTTTAAAACAATTGAGCAGGAACATACCACACAGTCTGTCTCCTTCAACTCTGGCCATTAAGGTTTGACTCAGGGTCAAAAAGTGTTTGCTTCTGGATCCCACCAATCTCACTTCTGCCCACGTGCTTGGTTTTCAGTAAGATCTGCAAAGTAACTATAAATGGGAAATTCTAACTTACTGTGAAGGAGCCCGTTTTGTGTTCAGTTAGATAACTGCTGTTCTCTAAATCTGACCTGGGCATGGGCCCAAATGCCACCAAAAAGTCCTGCAGGACAAAATCCAAGAATATCACAAGACCACCATGCTTTCGTCAAGCCCATCTCCAGCCTCATGTATGAGGAGACACCCCCCTCTCTGGGTGCCGAATGTATTCCTGGAGAACATTATCTGTGACGCTATCACCTACAGGTAGCACTCCAAGCACAAGACCACCATGGCCATGGACACAGTCTAGACACTCAAGAGCTAGAACTGGAGGCTCTTTGGCTTAGGCAGCCAAGACTGGTTCCTACTAATTCCAATGAGCATTTAACATCCTAGGCCTACTTCAGGACTCCTAATCATTTGAATTAGTCTACCATCTGAGAGTCTCTTCCAGGGCTCCTAAGGATTAGTAGCATGTCTTTTCTACTTTGTCCTTAGTACAGAGTAATGTCATTTCTCATTTAGACCCTGTAGAATGTAGGAACTGAGACCACTTCTGGTAAGTTAATTAATATAATAGCTGTGTCATCTCAAGAAAGAAGTAGTCGTTGGGCTGGGTTGCCCATCCCTTTAATCTCAGTGCTCAGGAAGCAGAGACAAGGATCCTTGAACTCTGGGAGTTCAAGGCCAGCTAAAGGGCAAATCTGTGTCAAAAACCAAAGGGAGGGGAAGTCTTTTGTGTTTTTAAAGGGAAAAGAAGAGTTTAGCCTAGCTGGGCAGTGGTGGCATAGGTCTTTAATCCCAGCACTCGAGAGGCAGAGGCAGGCGAATCTCTGTGAGTTCAAGGCCAGCCTGGACTACAGAGCGAGTTCCAGGAAAGGCACAAAGCTACACAGAGAAACTCTGTCTTGAAAAACCAAAAAGAAAAAAAAAAAGAAAAGTTTATCCTGAGTTTGAAAGATAATAGAGTGTGCATTTCTTTGTTTTATAAAATGGTATTTTCTAGCATCTAAATGGTAAATTGCTGCTGAAGAATACCCCCCACAAAAAAACAAACAAACAAAAAACATGGACCTGAAACAAGCCCATGGTTCTAGGAATCTACTGTGCAGAAAGCAGAATACCTCACAATAAGCCCCAGTAGCCTGAGACTTCAAAAACTAGCAATTTGACTCACCTCCCACCCCGCAGTTTCTAAAATCAGTTTATCCAGAAAAACAGTTTCTAGGTCTAGTGAAGCCAAAATCCTCTGCCCCTCAATTACAAACAAACATTGCTCTTTGACTCTATCTGCGAGCTCTCCAGACTCCTGGATGATGTACCTCTAGGTCTTGGGGCCCACCTCTCATTATTGAGGTCCAGTAGCATTTTTATTCTTTTTTGTTTTTCTTTTATTTCTCTTTGTTTTCCTCTGCCCATTTAATTGTTACATGTTTTCCCTTACAACTGCTAGAGACTGAACTTTTAAATTTTACTTTGTGTATAAACGGCTACAATTAAAATATCAAGACTATAGCGTTTATGCGAAAGAATAATTAATCGTCCATTAAAATGTCTGCAAATACATTTTTTTTCCATGTCACTGTCTTTAAGGTCCTTATTAAAGGTTCATCTCAGGGGTGTGGGGCTGTTTTTTTCAACATGGCCTCACTATGTTACTCAGGTTGGCCTATTCAGTCCCAGCCATTCATAACCACCTCACTAAGTAGGCCAGGCTTGACTGGAATTCCAGATCCTCATGCCTCAGTCTACAGAGTACTGGGATCACAGGCCTCCGTCACATCTAGCAAGGTTTTTTTGTTTTTGTTTTTGTTTGTTTGTTTGGTTGGTTGGTTGTTGTTGTTGTTGTTTTTATAGAACCAAAACGAGAAAGAGAACAAACAAATCCTTTAAGGACTCAGCCAAAGCCTTTCTGATTTTATTACTAGGGAAAAAATTAAGATTAAAATTTTAAAAAGTGAGTTTTATCCTCAAGTCTGGCTTTACATAGTGACAGACCATCCAGACTATACAATCCCCAAATATGAGATTTGGACACATTTTTTTTTAGAGCTACATTTGTACACTTAAAAAATAAAAGCTGTTGTGGCTGAAGATGGCACGGCAGTTTAAGTTTACTTACTGCCTTTCCAAAGAACAGGGTTCAGTTCCCATAAACTGAAAACCATCTCTAATTCCAGTTCCATTCATCTGATGCGATGCCCTCTTCTGGCCTCCAAAATCACTGCATGCATGTGGTATAACTACACATGCAGGGAAAAAACCCATACACCAACAGAAAAAGAAAAAAGAAACAAAAACAGCAACTATAAGAAACTCACCTTGACTTGCCCTGTATCTTCCTGCTTCCAAGCAGGAAACAACACGCACCTTCAGCACACAGCAGATGCATTCCCTATAATCCAGGGAAAGCAGCATTTACCATAGGAGCTATGGATTGCAAAGAAAAAGCATTGTGAACTAATCTGAACTGGTTGTCCCAGCTTCTGTTCCAAGCTTGCTTACTAGCCTTTACCAAATCCCTTTCTTCTCATTTTCAGATCTGTCAAAATCGGTAAGTGTTTAACTAAGTCTTCTGTGTATCTTCACTGATGAGGGCCCCTAAGCCGTGTGAAACATATTGATATGTATCTTTCTCTTGAGAACAATTGGCACAGTGAACCTAGCTGGACAACTGGGAAATTAGGTCACAATGTTTTTGTTTTTTTTTTTTTTTCACTTCACCTGTCTAACTTTTATACAAGGATGGACAGAAAACCATTTAAAAGTATCTCAAATTATCTGGGGCTCATCCCTTGTCTTCACATATTCATGGTTTCAGATTAACTGAATTAATCAAAATTCTGAAAGACACAGTGTGTTAGGGTTCTCTAGTGTCACAGAACTTAAGGAATGGGGAAAAAAGAGGGGAGTTTATTGGAATGACTTACAAACTGCAGTCCAATTAATCCAACAATGGCTGGACTAGCTGTGAACAGAAAGTCCAAGAATCTGTAGTCGCTCAGTCCCACAGGGCTGTGAGTCTCAGCTGGGCTTCTGTGTTGGTGGCCATTTTAATAGAAAAGTTTTTAAGCCGTGACATCTACTCAACTACAATTTGCCAAAGGTCATGCCATCTTACTCAAAAAAAAAAAAGTGCTTTAAAGACAGACAGGTCTCTGAGCACTAGCTGTGGTAAGATGCTTAGAAAGTCAAATCGTAGATCTTTGCCTTGGCCCTGGTAAACTGAGCAACAATGCTACTAAATTGAAAAATATTAAGAATGTTTCCAAAGTTACTGTGCAATGCAGGGATATGTAAACGAGGAGTTATCAATCCAAACTCTGACTGGACCTAAGAAGTCAGTAAACAAGAGTGAAAATAAAATTCTAAAACTTTGTGAGAGTGTTGAAAGAAATGACTATGTTTGCAGAACTAGGTTGATTGACAACTGTAGGTTGTAATTTTGTACCCTCAGGATTCTTTTTATAATCACCATTACACGTCTATAACATAATTTGAAAATAAATTGTAACTATCGCGTTTCGACCTGAAACTAAGGAAAGGAATTCTATAATGTGGGCAGGAGCAAAGCATTCTCTCTATCCCGGAACCTCAGATCTCCGCGGAAGGGAATGCGGGACCTTTGTGCTGTCACAAAGGGCCTGAAACACGGCGCCGCCATCTTTCCCGAGGTTTTAGAGTGAAGATGCTTTCTCGCTATGCCCCACCACATATTGTAAATAAACAGCGACTGTGCTGACGTATCTCGAAAGAAATTTACATTTTTAAGATGTAAATGCACTTCTGTCAATTCCTGTGGCGACACTAACGCGTAAAACGGTAAGTTTTTATTGAACTGAGCATGATTCTGAGATCCTGGGGGTGGAAATCAGAGCCTCACTCATGATAAGGTTATCGCCGCCACATAAACGGTATAAGCAATTTGAAAATATGTATACGAGAAATAACAACTGAGACTATTATGGCAGAAAAATGGCGGAGTTAGGGGAAGTGGCTAAACTAAAATTCCGAGGCACTGTGTTCTTGAAGCATGTTTTGTGTACATCAAGTCCAGTTCCCAAACAGCAGACCAGTAACGTTCGCCAAAGAGCTTCCGGGCTTGAGTAAAAGATAGTGTTTTCGGGACTGATTTCGTAACAGGGCGGACTCGCCTTTAGAATTTAGCAATCAAAAACTGCACTACAAGAACCGGCCAATCGTCGAGCCCTAGAAGCACTTCCGCAAATTCCGACGGAAGCCTGAGAGCTGCTGGCCAAGGTCCAATCAGAGCGACGCATTTCCTGTATAAATACCAGCGCCGCCAGCCTTTTCCTCTTGCTCATAGCGAAGAAAAACTTGGCTATGGCTCGCACCAAGCAGACGGCCCGCAAGTCCACCGGCGGCAAGGCCCCGCGCAAGCAGCTGGCCACCAAGGCTGCCCGCAAGAGCGCCCCGGCCACCGGCGGCGTGAAGAAGCCGCACCGCTACCGGCCCGGCACCGTGGCGCTGCGCGAGATCCGGCGCTACCAGAAGTCCACCGAGCTGCTGATCCGCAAGCTGCCGTTCCAGCGCCTGGTGCGCGAGATCGCGCAGGACTTCAAGACCGACCTGCGCTTCCAGAGCTCGGCCGTGATGGCGCTGCAGGAGGCCAGCGAGGCCTACCTGGTGGGTCTGTTCGAGGACACCAACCTGTGCGCCATCCACGCCAAGCGGGTCACCATCATGCCCAAGGACATCCAGCTGGCGCGCCGCATCCGCGGGGAGAGGGCTTGAGGCATTTTCCACATTGGCACATCGACAAACTAAAAAGGCTCTTTTCAGAGCCAACTCCATTGTCCGCAGAAGGTGCTGTAGTACGTGCACAGCAGATGTTAGGGTTTGGAGGGTACTTGCTAAAGTCGATACTTCCTGGCTTGTGTTCACCCACGAAAACTGCTTGCGCGGCGCAAAGATGTTTTTGACACTGGGTCTCCAGACCTGGTTCTGGAGGCCGACTTGTAGACTATCTAATAGCTTTGGAATCGGGCATTTGCATGCCTTTCCCTCCCGAGTGCTGGGTCTAAGCGCCACTATGCCCAGCTAAAAAAGATTTATTAGGCATTAATAAAACACGACCTAACAGAAGGTAGAATTCACAGGTTTAATTAAGGAGTTTTATAGTCTCAATGTTACATTGTACAATTAATTGTAAGAGGTACCGAAACTGTAACATTAACTTTTGACAATGTTTCACCCTTCCAAACAGCAGTCAAATAGCAATGTCAGTAATTTGCGACACAAATGCTAACAATCTTGGGGTTTTGATAATATTTTTGTTAAATTTCAGTTTTATATATCCTGGGCTGGCCTGCAGCTCTTCATTTAGCTGAGAATGACACAACTGACCCTTCCTGCCTCAATTTCCCCAATAATGTTGTAGACCAGTACTACTACCTAACCTAGTTTAATTTTTTTTTGTTTTTCGAGACAGGGTTTCCCTGTGTAGCTTTGCGCCTTTCCTGGATCTCGCTGTGTAGACTGGGCTGGCCTCAAACTCACAAAGATCCGCATGCCTCTGCCTCCAGAGTGCTGGGATTAAGAGTGTGCACCACCACCGCCCCGGCTAATTTCATTATTTTTAAGATTTAACGTAAAGATTAAGTTGCCAAGGATTCTTGATCTCAATAATAAAAGAATTTACCTGGGTGTGTTGGCTCACACCATTAATTCCAACACCTGAGAGACAGGTAGGCAGATCTGTGAGTTCACCAACCTGTTCTACACAGCAAGTCCTAGGCCAGCCAGAGCTACATACCAAAATCCTGATTTAAAAAATAATAAAATAAAAACGACAAACAGACTTTTTTTTTTTTTGCCTCCTGGTGGTGGTGGCGCACGCCTTTAATTCCAGCACTGGGAGGCAGAGCCAGGCCGATCTCTGAGTTCAAGGCCAGCCTGGTCTACAGAGCGAGATCCAGTACAGGAACCAAAGCTACACAGAGAAACCCTGTCTCGAAAAACCAAAAAAAAGAAAAAAAAAAAAAAAAAGGAACCACTTTTTTTAGAGTTTGTGAGGGGGAAAAACTGGCAAGAAAGCTGAAAATCTTGGCAGATGCCAAAAAAAAGGAAATGGCCATGGCTTTTGAATCGGGGGTCCTAGAAATCACAGATGTGCAGCCACTGGAGTTGGCAAGCATCTGTAAAGGGGAATCGAGGGGTTTTCCAGAGAAAGCAGAAGCCGGGAGTATCAAAGGCAAACAGGCTCAGGAAAGAAAAACTGGACAAGGTGCTCCATGCCTTTAATCCCCCCACTTGGCCAGCAGAGAGGCAAGCCAGCAGAGACAGCAAGTTCAGGCCAGGCCAGTACTACATCCATAGTAAGTTAACTCTGGCTTGCAGGTCGTGCTGGCACAGGCCTTTAAATCCAGCACTCTGGAAGCAGAGGCAGGAGGATCTCTGAGATTGAGGGAGGCCAGCCTAGTTTACAGAGTAAGTTCCAGGACAGCCAGGGGTACAGAGAAACCCTGTCTTTGGGGGGAAAAGAAAAAGAAAAAAAAAAAAGACTGCCTCATAAGGAAAGAAAAAGAGAGAAGAGAAAAGAACAAGATAAAAATGTATTCTTTTTTATTTAGAACTCAGAAAACTTGTCAGGAAACATCTTTTTAAAAGGGAATCCTGGAACATGTAAGTACATTATCAAATTAAGTAGATAATTATTTTCCCAGGTCCTTAACACATCTTCAAGATACCAGCTTTTTTTTTTTTTTTTTTTTTTTTTGTAGGATGTGTGTGTGTGGGGCGTGTCTTTTAGCTAAATGATGAATAGGCAATGTTCTTTAAACCAAATCAGAATGCCATATTTCTACCCAAGGCCAGACTAGAACACCAATTCCATTCCTCTGGCAAGGGGAGGTAGCTTTCACCCAATGAAATTTAATGAAACCCTGATACCTCCACCTTTTCAGATGGTAAGTGGAAGGTGGACTCTGAAACTGATGATGCCCATTCTAAACCTAATGCCTTAAAGAAAACCAATAAGAATAGTAGTTGACACTCAAATGCTTTTAGGAAGAATCATGAAACAATTCAGTTAAGATCACACATGTGGATCTTGTAACTTATAGGTACCTTTTTTAAAAACTCAAAATAACTAGTAACATAAAAAAAACTTTAAAGTATCTCTAATACTTCACTAATTTTGGTTGATAACACTTGATTACTTTATTTCCAACATGTAATAATATAAAAATGTATCGTTAAAAGCTTACTGCAAGCTTTAACTCTGTAGATTTAAATTCTAACTTTTAAAAAATGTAAAATGGTTAGTGTAGCTAAAGTTTTCCTGCCTGGCCCACAATCAGGATGAATCTCTCTCACCCGCCAGTCCCATAATTGTTCAAACCCGACCAAGTAAACATAGAGACTTATATTGTTTACAAACTGTATGGCCGCGGCAGGCTTCTTGTTAACTGTTCTTACAGCTTAAATTAATCTATTTTTATTAATCTATACCTTGTCACATGGCTCGTGGCTTACCAGTATCTTTACATGTTGTTTTTCATCATGGCGGCTGGCAGTGTCTCTCTGACTTAGTCTTTTACTTTTTAGTTCTATTTTTTTCCTTGTTCCACCTATATTTTTTGCCTGGCCACGGGCCAATCAATGATTTATTTATTGACCAATCAACAACATATTTGACATACAGACCATCTCACAACAGGTTAGTACTTCCAACTTTAAATATTTTCTCTCACACTGTAATTTGTGAAAACTAATAGCCATATCTAGGCTGTTCATCAGCCCATACACACAGGTAGTGCATACAATGTGATACTTCATCCAAAAGATGACCATCTGTGTGACATCCAATGAGTGATACATAATGCTGTATAGTCATTTCAGGCTTACAGGCATGATTTTTTTCAAAACACCCCAAAATTAAAGTGTCAGAAGATGTGCAAAGTGACAGATATCTGTAATCCCAGAATGTGAGAATGGAGGCAGGATCAGAAATTCAGTTATCCTTGGCTGTATAGTGAGTCTGAGGTTATCATGGGAGAAGTGAAAAGACTGTCTCAAGCACTCAAAACTGGGCTTTCTCATGGTGAAACACACCTTTAAACCCCAGAACTGGTAAGCAGAGGCAGGTGGATCTCTGAGTTCAAAGCCAGCCTGGTCTATATCAGGAGTTACACACACAGTGAGACCCTGTCTCAAATAATAATAATAATAATAACAACAACAATAATTACAATAATAATAATAATAAAACAGAACAAAGTTTTACAAAATTCAAAACAGTATAATAAGTTTGGTATCAGAAGTGTTTCAGAAGTGAAAATTCTTACCTTCAATTCTGGTCTCTACCTCCTCCAAAGACAAGGCTTAGAAACAAGACTCTCTCTTCCCCAGGGTAGGAAAACCAGAGCCATTCTTCTCAAAGTGAGCAATAAGTACTGAAACAGCTATCTTCACCAACCTTTTAACCTTGCAGCTAGCAATACTAATAATGATGATAATGATTTTTAAAATCCACAAACCTCATTTGTCCAAAAGTAGATCACAACACAACATCATCAGTTATGAAGTTCTGCCCATCCCTAGGAAGAAGGATGTCACATGGAGGTAAAGAAGGATAAGGAACGGGCCTGGCTAGGTTTCATCACATAGTGTCCCAGAAATAAATTATGTGCATTCCCTCCAATCATATTTCTACACAATGATACATGTTGGTGCTTTTCTCCTTACAAAATCCCCTCTGTAGTGGAGTGGGTGTTCAAAAACACCGAAGACTGAGCCTGAGCCAGTCATCTGAACGACACCTAGGTAGTAACTAAGCAAACAAATCGTTAGCAGTGTATGTATGTATGTATGTATGTATGTATGTATGTATGTATGTACATTCCTTCCCAAAGAGTGAAGTTTAAATATGGTCTTATAATAGAGAATATCCATTCCTGTATTATTGTGGCCCTATCAGTTTTTTTATTACTGAAAAATAAAATGTTTAAATTACCCATGGGTTAGAGTCCAAAGACTCCTGTGCTATGTAAAACTACAAGCTACTTCATTTGTTCACATGTCTTTTGTTATTAGAGTGTTTTATATGGTCATGACCCTCAATGATGGATTTAAAAGGAAAAAAAAAAAAGGCAGGATAATCCATAAAGAGTCAGCAACTTTATATTGCAGAAATGATAGCTAAAATGCACAAAAATTCAAAAATACCATTTAATTTTTTTTATGTCCTCTACTCCATCCACATATTGTTTATATTGACATTTCACATATGGATATTTTTATCTATTTTGTAGATCCCCCAAAATTTGAAGTTGCATATTTCAACAGGAAAGGGAGATGGTAATAAATTAGGCCATAAAGAGGAGAGTCAGAAAAACATCCCCATTGTGTTCATATACATTTTAGTATATATTTGTATATGTATTTTAAATCTCTAAATCCAATTGATATCAGACAGTATTCTAAGTCAGCTCAAGGGATTTTAGAAATTCAATCAAATGCACATTCCAAGAAGGAAACAAGAGGAAAGGAAGAGGGCCGCCTCTGCCTCCCGAGTGCTAGGATGAAAAGGCATAAATATGGCAACAGGCATGTCTACTGGGTCTTGTCCCATTGGAGACCTGCTCAGCACTCCCCAACTGACTTTTTGCTGTGTAGTCAAAAGGAATGGCTGTGGAAAGCTAGCATTCATTCTTACAACAATGATTTTTATGTACTTAAAGTATACAAGATAAGAAAAATAGTTAGTATAAAATATTTTGCCTGTGTATTTATTCATCATTTTTAGCAACATCAGATAATCAACTCCTGCAACAGACAGAAGGAACACTCAAAATATGAACTTCATTTGAAGACACAACAATTGCAGAATATTCTGCAAGTGTCTGCTTACACAGACCACACCATGGGCACTTGGAAATGTAATAGGAAGCTACCTATCCTTCCAGTTATTTTTTTAATTACGTGAGGCTCAAATTCAGTGCCTATCACTACAGTATTACCTTCTCCGGTGTGGGTGTGGGTTACACAGACCCCGGCCTTTGGGAGTCCAAGGACACCTTGCAGGCATCTGTTCTTTTCCGTCACACAGATCCCTGGGATTTAACGCAGGTCTTCAGTCTTTGGCTACAAGATTCTTTACCTACTCAACCATCTCTAAGTGGTCCACTCCCCTCTTAAGGAAATGCTAGGTTGAAATATAGCCTTATAAGAACACACATGTGGTATCTTAGTCGGTACAGGCGCTTTCCCCAAGGCCTGAAACCCACATGGGGGAAGAGAGCTTACTGCTGCAAGTTATGCTCTGACCTATACACACACAAACATACATATGAAAAAAACTAAGTGCTATGTAATATCTTACTACCAGGAACTCCATTAAAAATTAAAAAAAAAAAACTTGAATACCTACAATGATGAAATAGAAATGACACCCACAAAATCAGTTCAGCTTTTTTTTTATGCTTTTTTTTTTCCTTGCCTAACTTTCAGAAGGCCAGTTGCAAACCAGACAGCATTCCAAAATGTTTCTTCACATTGTCTACTGTTCTACTCACCAAATAGGGAAGAGTACATAAGCCCGGAATGATGTATGAGGAAGCAATGCCGGATGCAAACTGCCAAAGGTGCTGAACTTTACTAAAACTTAGCGTCAGGATGTTTTAAAAGCTTACACAAAATTAAGCAGAATGACAATGTGATCAGTCCCTTAAAATTCCAAGGGTGGAGAGCTATTGGGGAAATTCAAGCTCTTTCCATTTCTAAGCAAACAAAAAAAAATTCAACATCTCAGCCTCCCATACCCTTAGGACCGACAGAATTCCAGAATTCTAGGGGAAAGTAGAGGGACAGGGACCGAGAAAGATGCCAGCGCCCCATTACCCAAATGCAGTGTCTGGATCTCTGATTGGTGCAACGTGTCCCTACTCATTACTGAGAGGATGCTCTGATTGGGTAATTCTCAAAACCAAGGTCTGCAGACCGATTGGAAAAACTTAAGACTGAACTCCAGCCTGTAACCCTGATGTCGGATTGGATTGCTAGAAGACTGTATTACCACGCCTAGGGGTAGAAACGAGAGGACTTCCCGCCAAGGTTGTGAGCGTAAAAACGTCTGTGTAGACAGAACCCGCCCAGGAGGCCAATGCTTTTCCACAGTTATTGCATCGGCCCGGAGCCAACAAAATGCTTAAATGACGCACTCTAGCTGTTCAGGACACTTAAAACCCTCCGGAACACGTAGACCCATACCCAAGGCAACTACAGAAACGACTGGGAGATTTAAGCCAGCTCTACTTTAGACAGCGAAACTGGAGTCACCTGATCAATGCCACAAGAGGCAATTGAAAACATTACCAAGAGTTTAGCTCTTTTGAATGAGATGTGTGGGTGGCTCTGAAAAGAGCCGTTTTGAGATTTTCAAAGCAGGACGCGCCACTTTACTTCTTCCGGGGGGCGGCCTTCTTTGCCTTGGTGGCCTTCGGTTTGGCCGCCTTCGGCTTGGTGGCCTTGGGCTTGGGGGCTTTCGCCTTCGCTGGACTCTTGGCTGCCTTCTTGGGCTTAGCTGCCTTCACCTTTTTCGGGCTCTTGGCAACTTTCTTAGCCCCTGCAGCCGCCGCGGGCTTCTTCGCCTTCTTCGGGGTCTTCTTGGCGGCTTTCTTGGGAGTGGCTGTTCCCGCAGCCTTCTTGGGCTTCTTGGCCGCGCCCGCGGGCTTCTTGGCCTTGGCCGCGCCTGCCTTCTTGGCTTTGGGCTTGGCCTCGCCGGAAGCCGCCTTCTTGTTGAGCTTGAAGGAGCCGGAGGCGCCGGTGCCCTTGGTCTGCACCAGGGTGCCCTTGCTCACCAGGCTCTTGAGCCCCAGCTTGATGCGGCTGTTGTTCTTCTCCACGTCGTAGCCGGCGGCCGCCAGCGCCTTCTTGAGCGCGGCCAGGGACACGCCGCTGCGCTCCTTGGAGGCGGCTACAGCCTTGGTGATGAGCTCGGACACCGGGGGTCCGGACGCCTTGCGCTTCCCCGCGGCGGCGCCGGTCTTCTTCGCCTTCTTCTTCACAGGTGTCTTCTCCACAGGGGCAGGGGCAGCGGGAGCCGCTGGAGCGGTCTCGGACATGGTTTATGCCTTGCTAGGAAAGCCAAAAGTAAGCCCAAACTGTCAGAGAGGCTTGTTCCCGGTGCTGAAGGCTCTGGGTTTATATAGAGAGAAGCTGCGTGGTGATTGGTTCCCTGCGCCGTGCGCCGCGCTGCCAGAGAAGGGACCTTCAGCTCTGCCTTGTGGCTGTGTTTGTTGCCCCTTAAAAAAGAGTAAAAATAAAAGAAATATGGGCACGAAATCATTGGGAACTTGGGGGAATGTGATCCGAGAGCCTGTGGGCTTCATTCTTGCCTTAATTTGTACAGCTATATTCAAAATGGGCAGCCTGAAACTTCCCTGATTGCCCCAACTCTCTTTCAAACTTAACGTAAATTGAGACAACTTTAAGGTTTTCCTTAAAAATACTATTTCTCTCGCCATCATTCGCAAACTTTTATTTCAGGATATGGTTCTGCACATTCTTATCGTGTCTAGATTATATAGACTAACCTCTTTTTACTCAAATATGTAGGGAAATTCGGGTTTTTCGCGGAAGTAACAGCACAGGCGCTCCCGGGGCTGTCTACACCAAGCTCTAGGAATTGGCACTGAGTGGGAAAGTTGTGCCTGCCTGGGGAATGATTATTGTATAAAATATCGATTGTTTTTTAAGGTATTTGAGATACCATAGTGTGTAATTCCTGTTCGATATCCTTGTTTTAGTGATTTTGCCATTTTCTGGAGATGGGATGAGTCTGTGCCTTTCCTATTCTAGATCAACAGCTCTAAGCACATTTCTTCAGATTCAGTTGTACAGGGGAGACCAGCTCACACATTTTTGGAAGAAGAAACCTAGGTCAAGAAGGGACATAAGTTCCTGGAAGCTGAAGAACAGTGGAATATAACCTGGCTTGAAAACTCATTCCTTGTTAGAAAAACATGTGACTTCAGGACACTTACAAAGCTTTTTCCCCTGACCAATACCTATCATGGCATTTTCTACATATTTTTTGTTTTAGAATAATTTGAATATCAATATTGAAAAACAAGCAGATTTGAAAGAAAAATCTGTTTTTGAATTTTTATAATTCTTATTACATATATAATAGTTTATCACAAGCAAAATTTTGAGCTGGTTGTATCCACCTGAGAACTTGAACAAGCATTTCAGTGAGCAGGAATGACTTGAAAACTCTATCTCTTTTAGTTTGCAATACAATGAAGCTGATATAGTTGGATTCATATTGGAAAATGAAGCAGAAAAGTCATGTTTTCTATCAAATAGACAACATTTCACTGAAGACTCAAGTTTGCTAAACAAATAAGAAAAGTGTTTTGGTGTTGTATTGTAATAAATTCTTATATTCACCAAATCTCATTATGGTATAAACTTAATGATTTAAAGATATCCTTATGTTAACACAAGACTAACTAGTCAGTACTTAACTTGTCTTCATAGTGACTTACCTAACTACATACACATAACTTAGTGTGAAATGATTATTTAGTCAGCCGAAACAGCAATAATCGAGTCCCTGGAATATAAGAACATGTTATAGTATAAACCATTAAAATATATACACTGTGTACAAGATTGCTCAGCTCATCAGACTGAATCTGAATCACTCAATGATTCCCTTACGTGGCGTTTTCTGAATATATGGAAGGAGCTGTTGGCATCATTTTAGGAGTCACTGTCCATAGCAGTCATCACAGAAAGTACATCAGCCTTTTCCTGTTTTTTATATAGCTTTGCATTGCCTACACTTAAATATATGATTAAAAATATAATTTTGAAATTTGTATAGCTGCATTAATTTCTATAATCATGATAGCAGTTGCTAACTACTTATTGGAATTGCATACTTATATTTATTCAAGTTAGCAGATATTACCATTTTATTCTTGCACAAGTCTTACTGGGCATTATGACTATTTAAACTCCCCATATATGAGAAAGTTTTAGAACCATTAAATTCTGTTTCCTAATTTTTTGGTAATCTCTGGTGTTCATGGATGGAAGACATTAGGTAAGACTTGATTCCACCAAGAAAATGGTTTTCCACATCTTTACAGAAAAAGAACATACTGCATACAGTTAACTTTGTTACTGCTCTGGTCTGGCTACTTATTACTATAACTAGCAAGAACAAGGTTCTTAAAACTTGGATCAACCATGGGACTACAAACTGGAAGCCACAAGAACCTTCATTCATTTTCACTCATTATTTTAGAGTAACATCAAAAACATGTTTTTGGTCTTGAATCAAAAAACTACTTGTATCCTGAAACAGCAGCTTATCCTCTTTAGTAAACCTTGAACTGTTTTTATAGAAATTAAAAACAGATAATAAAAATTCCTAAGATGAGTGAAAGCAGAAACTTATGGCTTCATCTTCTCTCAATGTTGTTTTAGATAGACACACACAAATGCATACCATTACCATACTAATGCTGAGAGATACTGGTCTCATGCTTTATCCCACAGGATGTGTTCTTGGGTATTGTAAAATCTAAAAAATTTCAAAAGCTACAGGAAAAGGTGGTTGTATAAAATAAGTACCAACAGGGCGGTGGTGCTCCACGCCTTTAATCCCATCCCTCTGGAAGCAGAGGAAGGTGGATCTCTAAAGTTGAGGCCAGCATAGTCTACAGAGCAAGCTCCATGACAGTTAGGGCTACACAGGGAAACTCTGTTTCAGAAAATAATAACGAGATAAGTATCAAGAACAGAAAATAAAATAAGGGGAAGGAGACAGCCTTAGCGGAGTCAAATGTGCTCCAAAGGTCTAGGAGAAGTTAGAGGTATCGATTGTACATTCCCTTCCATTGACATTACATGAAGACTGTGGCAACTTGAAACTTTCATCCAAGCATAACCAGTCTGCATTAATTTCATTTTCTAAATTGGGCACTTTGAAGTGTTTAACTGAATGCTTCCAAATATCCAGGTTCCTGACCCCACTCCACCCCAACATCTGTAATGTCTTTTACATGTGCAAGCTGAATAGATTCCAGTATACTAGGAGAAGTCTAAATCCTCCCTGTCTCTAGAAAGGCCCCCTCTCCAGTGTACAATACATTCCCATCCAGAGTCTGCATAACTGAAACTGTTTAACAAGTCTCGGGGCAAGGTCAATGCAAGCAGGCTATTGCTGCTTCACGAAGATACTAGGGAACAGCTAGGAATATGCTGAGCTGATGAAGCCCCATCCGACCCCTCACCCCGAATTTAGTTTTCCCTTACGTGGCCTTTGAGTTCTTTAGGTGGGGAAAGAGGATATGCCACTCTGTTGTTTAAACCTGGTGTTTTCACACCAGTTTTGGCATTCTGGCATTTAGAGTGAATGGGGTGTAAAACTGGTGTCTTTCTGAAAAGGAATGTGGGAAATCTCTGTGGGTTAATTGGGATAAGCTAAATACCAACTACATTCTGAGTAATTGGAACTTTTTTAAAATATTTTTTTTCTCTTCCGTCATCATAGAAATTTTTCAGAAGAGCACTAGCCAAAGCACATCTTCAAGATGACCTCTCCAGACAAGGATGAGGCTCACACCTGCACTACAGACGCTAAAAAAGTTAAATTGCCTCAGATTCGATTTCAATCTGAATTAGAGTGTATTCCAAGACTACCTGTGCTCCACTGCCTCAAAAAAATGAGTAAATAAATACCTTTGTAGTGTACAAAAGGGCACTGAACCAAATTGTGTACAGTGTGAGAAAACATCGAAATTCGCCTATCACACATATCACAGTGACGTATTATACAGCCTTACTTCTGAAACACATTATTGAGATGTTACTTTACAGAATTTGGATATTCTTTTTGTTTAATTTGCAAACGTTATTCGCTGTTTCCTTGCCACAGACAACAGAGGATAGCAAGGCCATGAGACACAGAACCACCCCAGCAACAATATCTTTTTTTAAAAGAGGATTAGCTCTCCAACCCTGGGCAAGTCTTCATCTTTCCAGATCAAACAGCATTTCATGACATGAAAACCAGTACATATATTCAATCAATACCAGCTCCCTTCGTAGAGATTTGAAAACGGAGCCTGTGCAGGCCTCCGACAATGGCAAAACTTCATAACAGGTCAGATTTAATAATGCTAGCAAAAATTGACTTTACTTTTTTCTAAATTTTCCACTTAAAAGGCAATCTCATTGAACTATGTCTGGTTTTGTAGGCAAGTGTGTGGCTACAACCTCCTTTTTACAAATGATGTATGGTTAGGAGAATTATCAAGTCTCAGCTGTCAGAACCCACAATCATACTCCTGAAGGACACGACCTAGTAACTAAGAACTCCAAGAGGAAAGCGGAAGACGCACATTGCCCTCAAGCACAGCGCCTGTGCCTTCCTCCAGGCAACAGAAGTCAGCCGGTGAGGTAGAGGGGCGGATACAAAAGCACCTTCCCGCCCGCGCCTTTTCAGTTCCCTAAAAGGTCCGCAGTCCTCGTATATATAGCAGCTGTAGAGGGCGCTTGAGTAGCTTGAGCTCAGCTCAGATTCTTTTCAACATGTCTGGTCGCGGCAAGGGTGGCAAGGGTCTCGGGAAAGGAGGCGCCAAGCGCCACCGCAAGGTCCTGCGCGACAACATCCAGGGCATCACCAAGCCCGCCATCCGCCGCCTGGCCCGGCGTGGCGGCGTCAAGCGCATCTCCGGCCTCATCTACGAGGAGACCCGCGGGGTGCTGAAGGTGTTCCTGGAGAACGTGATCCGCGACGCCGTCACCTACACGGAGCACGCCAAGCGCAAGACCGTCACCGCCATGGACGTGGTCTACGCGCTCAAGCGCCAGGGCCGCACGCTCTACGGCTTCGGCGGCTGAGCTGCTCGTCTCCTTTATTTCTTTCTAAAGGCCCTTTTCAGGGCCACCCACTTTATCATAAAAGGGCTTGTCTCATTTCTCAACCCCAAGTTCCCCGCCAGTAAGGTTAAACATGGCGATCCCGAGATTTCCGAGTAAGGGATGGTGTTGACGGTTTTTTTTTAATTCGTTATCATTAATAGTGCAAGACTCGAGCCCTGGATACCTTTGTTACAACCGTACGGTAACTTACTGGGCTGAGGCTCCAAACCCTCCCTTCCTAACTTACCTGCCAGAGTGACAAATTTCATTACTATTTAAGAGATCACCTGTTCCATCACTAAGTGCCCCTGCTGCACACTAAACTAGGCTTTATCCTATTGTGATTCAGGCTCTCCCTCCACGTTGAATTGGATTCAACTAATAAATTACATATTTACCTCCAAACTAAGGGACTCAGTTCTACAAAGCCCACTCCATTCTGCAAATTTCAGTTCAAAAGCGAACTTCTGGGCCATTTGCCACTCCTAATTTAGCAATGTCAAGATTACAGGCTCACTGGCACACATCCTGTTTTTCCCGTTTTTCTGTTTGCTTTCTGGGTCCTAGTCCAATGACTTTAAACGTGAGTTGTCTGTTCAATTATCCAGTCTCTGGTCCTCTATGATTGTCATCTCTCCACAATGTGAGATCGGTAAGACATCCAAGCCCCCAAAAGAAAATGCTATTAGTCTTTTGCCTTTTTTTTTTTTTTTTTTTTTTTTTTTTTTTTTTTTTTTGAGACAGGGTTTCTCTGTGTAGTTTTGGTGCCTGTCCTGGATCTCGCTCTATAGACCAAGCTGGCCTCGATCTGCCTGGATCTGCCTCCTGAGTGCTGGGATTAAAGGGGCTGGCCAGCGCCGCCCGGCCTTGCCTTCTTATAATCAATACAGTATAGTGACCAGAGGTGCCTTACAGGACACCTATGATCTCACAGTTTTTACCTTACCATTGCAGTGTTTCTTAAGCAGTTTTTTTTTTTTTCATTTCATTGTACAAAAATAGAATTGTCTTAACTGAGTACCCTGTAACTAAAGAATAAAATCCCAACTCCTGTTTCATCTGACATCTGTCTTGCCTCCATAGTCTCACCCTAACCATGAGTTCTACTCCTGACTAGACTGAACACTTTTCCAAATGAAATTACCATATATACATGTGCGGTTTGTCTCCTTCCTACCTGGGCCAAGGAATGCCAGGACCAAGTACAGAGCCTAACACACAGTAGGTACTCAGGCCAAATAAAATTAAAGGGTGTAAAGAAGAAACTGGCTTCCCTCTAAATCTCTTTGGCCTGCAGTATGACAATGAGATTTTGACCAAGAAAACCCATGTAGAATGACAGTTAAGAGCAAAACCTTACCTTTGAAGAAAAATGCTTTTTAAATCCTATCAGCCTGGTGGGGTTTAAACATAGTCCGTGTGAACAACTCACCATCTATCTAATCAGATTTACTAGTAAGCTTTCTCTCAGAAAACCTCAACTTCAGTTCTAAGCAGCAAGTGGCCCCGTACAAAGCACTTGGGTTTTTTTGTCTGTAGCTTGTCTGACTCCACATTCCAGACATAACATTCAGTTTTATGTTTAATACATATTCTAGTTGATAAATTCTGTACAGTGTGGTACAGAATTGTATAGTAAGGGAGGACAACCTGAAAGTATTGGGCGTACATAGTTTACTGTGAGTTTGATAAGGCGAACAGAAAGGGCAGGCAACTAAGGAAAGAAAGATGAGCGCTGGGCCTTGTCCTCTGGCCTGTGTGTCTGGAGAGTCTGGCATACCTAAGTGGTTGGTAAACAGTAGGTTTGACCCTCCTGGGTCATTCCACACATTACAACAATCTAGCAAGCATAAAATTCTGAATTTCTCAGTTTATAAGAAACCCTTCTGGTTGAATGCGGCCAAGTCTGCGGGCCACCTTTCTCACGCACCTGTTTCTCCATAGCCACAGCATTAAACTGTTCATTTTACGAATCAGGACCCAAGAAAGGAAAATAGTATGCATGCTGGTGGCCAGCACCTTGGATCAGTGAATCATGAAGCTTCTAGATTCTCACCACAGGTAGGCCTTTTATGCCTGCTAACGACCTGTTTCTGGTTGATAGAACAAGAGTTCCTAACATAACTTTATCGACTTAACTTTCCACACTTGAATGAAAATGCTGAATGAAATCAATTACAGAGTCTTATCTACCAAATTATGCAGCAGCCCTCTTGAAAGAATGGTGGGGGTGGCTCTGAAAAGAGCCTTTGGGTTTGTTCGGATACGTAATCAAAATTATGCCCTCTCCCCGCGGATGCGGCGAGCCAGCTGGATGTCCTTGGGCATGATGGTGACCCGCTTGGCGTGGATGGCGCACAGGTTGGTGTCCTCGAACAGACCCACCAGGTAGGCCTCGCTGGCCTCCTGCAGCGCCATCACGGCCGAGCTCTGGAAGCGCAGGTCGGTCTTGAAGTCCTGCGCGATCTCGCGCACCAGGCGCTGGAACGGCAGCTTGCGGATCAGCAGCTCGGTGGACTTCTGGTAGCGCCGGATCTCGCGCAGCGCCACGGTGCCGGGCCGGTAGCGGTGCGGCTTCTTCACGCCGCCGGTGGCCGGGGCGCTCTTGCGGGCAGCTTTGGTGGCCAGCTGCTTGCGCGGGGCTTTGCCGCCGGTGGACTTGCGGGCAGTCTGCTTAGTACGTGCCATTGCAAAGAAAAATAGTGAATTGTAAAGTAGAAAGTCGTTGGTTCCTTTTTATAAAGGCCAGGTCTTCCTGATTGGTTGGAATCTTCAAACGCCGCGCCATGAATGATGTACGCGGAAGTGATTGGCAATTGGATAACAGACCTTAATTTTAAAATTTGTAACCTATAGAAATGTCCTATATTGTCTGATATGTGGTTCTTTGTTGCATATTACTTCCTTAGGTACATTGTTGCCATTAAGTAACATAATTGTTCAATTTTGCTTACCAGCAAATTAGTAAGAGATACTATTGCGATTTTGGTTGCGCAACACCTGAGCAGTTTAAAGGAATACTCCTACAACGGGAGCATCTTCCTAATCCGACTAAAATGTGGTCAAACAGACACGCACGAACATGGTCGATTTTTTTCCACTTTTTAATAAATTCATCAATTCCATAGTCGCCTTAGCATCAGAAAAGCTAATTATGTACCAACAAAAAAACAAAAAACCCTAGAATGATTTTCAGAAGCTATGTTTGGAGATCATTTAAATTGCATTGTTGTTGCAATGTGGAGGGTCCTTTGATTCCATAGGGAAAAAGAAACGCTTGCCCACTTAAAACGAACTGTACAGTAATTAAGACATCTAGAAGCATTCAGTGAATATTTTCTGTCTTCCCTTCTGAGAAGCGTTTGTGTCGATCTGTATTTCAATTGGGCAAAGTTCAGGTGACGTCACCGAAATATCACTCAATCAGAAGTGTGCTTTTTCATGCCTCATTTAAATAACTCCCTTATAAAAGGGGGAAGCCCAGAAGCTTCAGTGTTGAGTTCCAGTTGTTCCTGTCTCATCATGCCCGAGCCCGCGAAGTCCGCCCCCGCCCCGAAGAAGGGCTCCAAGAAGGCCGTGACCAAGGCCCAGAAGAAGGACGGCAAGAAGCGCAAGCGCAGCCGCAAGGAGAGCTACTCGGTGTACGTGTACAAGGTGCTGAAGCAGGTGCACCCCGACACGGGCATCTCGTCCAAGGCCATGGGCATCATGAACTCGTTCGTCAACGACATCTTCGAGCGCATCGCGGGCGAGGCGTCGCGCCTGGCGCATTACAACAAGCGCTCGACCATCACGTCCCGGGAGATCCAGACGGCCGTGCGCCTGCTGCTGCCCGGGGAGCTGGCCAAGCACGCCGTGTCCGAGGGCACCAAGGCCGTCACCAAGTACACCAGCTCCAAGTGAGCGGCGGACCTCACCGAAACCCAAAGGCTCTTTTCAGAGCCACCCACAACTTCAAAGCTTAGAGCTTTAATACTGCTGACGTAGGAAATCATGAGAGATACACCTACCCTCATGTGCAGTGCTGGCTGTAGGCGTGTTTTGAAATTAGTTTAATGGCATGTAGAGTCCACTTAATGTACGTTTGAATGTAGTGGGTAGCCATTCCCGCTTTGATCTGGAAGTTCCAACCCCCATTGAGACTTGGGCAACTGTCACACCTACAAGGCAGGGCCAAGGGAGGGGCCTGGAGACCCGAGATCTGGATGGGCCAGCGCTCTCTCTGTTCCGGGACCCTGGACGGTGGAGGTGAGCCAAGCAGAGCTCCAGAGAACACCGCTGGACTGCGACACACCTTCCCCAGACCCCTTAATTTGCAAGTTATGCCATTAAATAAAACTCCTTATAACTACGTGGAGTGGCCTTAATAATTTCACCAATATTTGAACTTTAAGAGGATGCTCCTAAAAACCATTTGTCAGTGTTTTCCAATCCTTAAATCTGAAAAGACCAGGTATCCAAGAAATTCACCTACCTAATACACGGAAACCTCTCTATGATATGCCAATAATCTTTATGATACTGTAATAGGAGTTTGTGTAGGGTATTCTGACTAGAAATGAAACCCCAAATTACCTTGGTATGTTTTCATCTTGGAATTAAGTATGTAAAATCCAACCAGAACTACAGAGAAGTCTTGAATCAGGTCTCTAGAGTTACTTTTTAACAGCTGTTCTGTTGATGTCATTAGGACAAGCCACCTCAAGTTTTACACCAGAACACTTCAATGCGTATCCTCAACTGTTGGCATCTGCTCATCCAGGACGCTACCACTCATGGGATGAAAAGGTAACTGGAGGTCAGGGAAGATCGCTAAATTCCTGGGTCTGCAGTTTGTTGTAGTGCACGCCTTTAATCCCATCATTTGGGAGCAGTGCCAGGTACTCTTGAGTTCCTGACCCACCTGGTCATACGCCTTTAATCCCATCATTTGGGAGCAGTGCCAGGTACTCTTGAGTTCCTGACCCACCTGGTCATACGCCTTTAATCCCATCATTTGGGAGCAGTACCAGGTACTCTTGAGTTCCTGACCCGCCTGGTCATACGCCTTTAATCCCATCATTTGGGAGCAGTACCAGGTACTCTTGAGTTCCTGACCCGCCTGGTCATACGCCTTTAATCCCATCTTTCTGTGCTATACAAAAAGGATCCTACATAGATAGGCACACAGACACACAGATGATAGATTGTATTGTGCCAAAATTTCTAACTAAACGAAATATTGCAGTATGTAACTGGAGGCAGAGCCAGACTTGGTTATTCATTTACCAAATCTGCTGAGTATATTAAAAAAAAAATGCTTTGGGGGGAAAGACTGATAAAAAGGAAACAGCTTTTTTGTCGTGTGCGAAGGAAGCCAATCATTGGCTTTTTACAAAGAAAATATTTATGCAGAAGGCACCTAAGCCTGGAAGTGAAAGGCTCCAATATGTCTGCCCCAAGGGTACTTGTGGGCTCTCAATACAATGGGGAAAGGTGATTACAAGTGAAAGTTACCACCTTAATCAATCTTCATGGCTCTTCAAGGAATAGTGTTCAGAAAATAGTGGTTTTAGCATGATTGGGGTTGAGTTTTCAGCCTCCCAATATCCAACAGTCTTCCTTCCATCACAATCTCTGGGACAATTCCTTAAAAACCAGCCTTCAAATCTCTATAACACACACAGACCACTGTGATAATAACCTGCTGCACAAATCCAGTGACCAGATGCATGACTTTCCAGATTAATGATTGTTAAGCCAACTGAAGAAACACATGAAGTTTTAGAATCTCAAAAACCAAAAAGCAGAGGGCTTTAGTGTACACCTTTAATCCTAGCAATTGGAAGAGGGGCAGACAGGCAGATCTCCCATTTCCAGACCATTCTAGGCTAAAAAGCCAGTTGCAGGACAGACCCGGATACATGAGTCCCTTTTGTTAGAAAGAGGGGGGAAAGCCCAAAGGATAGGTAAATAGCAAAGTTACAATTTTGAAGTCTGGGAAAACTTTTTTGACAGTTAAAATTAGCTTTGTCCTTCGAAGGTGGTTTACAATTACAAAGTATACACATGTGCAATTGTAAAATTTTACTATACTTTCTGTAAATGCTTGGCCTACTACTGTACCCATGCATCACGGGTTGTTTTAATCCCAGTCTTTGTGTGAAATAACTTACTGTAAACTTAAAAGTCTTGGAATACCCTATTTCAATGAAATTGAGAAGGGAATATAAGACAGCAAGGAAAGGAACCCAAGACACTCACTTGTGTTAAGTCTTTCTCCAACAGAGAATCCTATATATTACTCTAGACTTATCCAAATGAACACTTTTGAATGCATATTAAAACTACCCTTAACAAAATGGGAAAGGACGTTACAGCCTTTTTTTTGGAAGATGGGTGGCTCTAAGAAGAGCCTTTAAAAGTGGTTGAGTAGATGGAAGGAATTCTTTACGCCCTCTCCCCGCGGATGCGGCGGGCCAGCTGGATGTCCTTGGGCATGATGGTGACCCGCTTGGCGTGGATGGCGCACAGGTTGGTGTCCTCGAACAGACCCACCAGGTAGGCCTCGCAGGCCTCCTGCAGCGCCATCACGGCCGAGCTCTGGAAGCGCAGGTCGGTCTTGAAGTCCTGCGCGATCTCGCGCACCAGGCGCTGGAACGGCAGCTTGCGGATCAGCAGCTCGGTGGGACTTCTGGTAGCGCCGGATCTCGCGCAGCGCCACGGTGCCGGGCCGGTAGCGGTGCGGCTTCTTCACGCCGCCGGTGGCCGGGGCGCTCTTGCGGGCAGCCTTGGTGGCCAGCTGCTTGCGCGGGGCCTTGCCGCCGGTGGACTTGCGGGCCGTCTGCTTGGTGCGAGCCATAACTGTAAAGGACAGAAGAAATGAAGATAACTGAACAGCACAAGGGCTGCCTTTATGTAGGTTTGCTTTCGCGCGTGCGCACCGGCTTTGCCTCCCCCCCCCCCCACAGAGAAACAATCTGATAGGCTTTCATGACTTTTCAAAAGGCCCGCGCAATAGTACGATTGGCTGAGGAGTTCAAGCGGTAATTGGTTAACTTTTGCATACTGATTGTGATAACTTGCTAACGGTAAAACATGTTTTAGCAGACTAAAAACATTTATTTTAGCAAAATAAAAATATTTGTTTTAGCACACCCTAGATTTCTTAAGTTTGACTCCACGCTTCTGTATTGAAACGCTTGCTGAACTTGAGGACAGGAAACCGGACTTTAACATGTCATGTCGCTTCCCAAAAGGCATTCTGGAAAACATGTTGGCCACCCTCCCTTGGGTTTTATTTTTCCATTCTAGCTCATGGACTGTAATGTTGTGTAGCTCTAAGCATAGCGTTCTAGGAGTGTGGAATGTCACCAGTAAACAGGCCAGCATGAAAATAACGGGAATACATCTCAACTAGCCACTGAATGCTGCCTTGTCACTTTCCGTAAGGCCTTGTTCTAAGTAACAATTTCCAAAAAGACCTTGAACTGACATCAGCTTCTTCAATCCTAGCCACTTTCCAACCTCCTTCCTGCCCTGGAAAAATTCTCAAGTCACTACGCAAAGCGCTAAATGAAAGTGTCCAATGAAAAACAGCACACTTGTGCGATATTCTTAGTTTCTGCTTGTGCAAGACAATTAAGCAAGCTTCACAGTTCAGTTATAGGGATATGGTTCGATGCTTCTTGCACTGACAGTGGGTTTATCGCACACTAAGTAAAAACAGGTTTAGGTTACTAAACTCTCATATGAAGAGGTGATGGCTCTGAAAAGAGCCTTTGGGTTCAAACAAAAACTAAGCGCACTGGTCTCATTTTCCCTTGGCCTTGTGGTGGCTCTCGGTCTTCTTGGGCAGCAGCACCGCCTGGATGTTGGGCAGGACGCCGCCCTGCGCGATGGTCACGCGGCCCAGCAGCTTGTTGAGCTCCTCGTCGTTGCGGATGGCCAGCTGCAGGTGGCGCGGGATGATGCGCGTCTTCTTGTTGTCGCGGGCCGCGTTGCCAGCCAGCTCCAGGATCTCGGCCGTCAGGTACTCCAGCACGGCCGCCAGGTAGACCGGGGCGCCGGCGCCCACCCGCTCCGAGTAGTTGCCCTTGCGGAGGAGCCGGTGCACGCGGCCCACGGGGAACTGCAGGCCGGCGCGGGACGAGCGGGTCTTGGCCTTGGCGCGAGCCTTGCCGCCCTGCTTGCCGCGTCCAGACATGTTCAAAGTCTAGCTTGCAAGATTTGTTCAGAAATACTTGAGACTGCCGCAGCAGCGAACTTATAGGCATGGGCCGGCGCGAAAACAGAGTGATTTCATTGGCTACACATTCTATTTCACCTTAACCAATGGTTACCGTGGTTTTCAAATATCTTTGTTCTCATTGGACATGTAGTATTTGACGTCGGCAGATTCGCTAACAAGGATAGCCAGAGCTTTATTTAAAAGCAGGGAGGACTGAAGCATTTCCAAAATCGTTTTAGTTGTTCCTGCACTAAACGTAGTCTGTCCATCATGCCTGAGCCGGCGAAGTCCGCCCCCGCCCCGAAGAAGGGCTCCAAGAAGGCCGTGACCAAGGCCCAGAAGAAGGACGGCAAGAAGCGCAAGCGCAGCCGCAAGGAGAGCTACTCGGTGTACGTGTACAAGGTGCTGAAGCAGGTGCACCCCGACACGGGCATCTCGTCCAAGGCCATGGGCATCATGAACTCGTTCGTCAACGACATCTTCGAGCGCATCGCGGGCGAGGCGTCGCGCCTGGCGCATTACAACAAGCGCTCGACCATCACGTCCCGGGAGATCCAGACGGCCGTGCGCCTGCTGCTGCCCGGGGAGCTGGCCAAGCACGCCGTGTCCGAGGGCACCAAGGCCGTCACCAAGTACACCAGCTCCAAGTGAGCGGCGGACCTCACCGTAACCCAAAGGCTCTTTTCAGAGCCACTCATTTGTTCTTTTATGAGAACTGTAACTATCTCCACAACAAAATTGGGTTTTTGTAATGGGTGTGAACCACAGTGTTTGGTTGTAGCCTGAACAGTTTACCTTTTAAATACAATGTATCTGCATAGTCAAGTTTAAATTTATCTTGTGATGATCATAAGATATATTTTTATATATGTAAAGTAAAACTAGTCAGAATGTCGTTATACCAACTATCTGCTTCTGTCTCTAGTGCGGAGATTAAAGGTGTATGCCACCATCCCCTGGCCCTCTTTTTTTTTTTTGGTTTTGTCTTTTAATGAGATCTCACTAGCGCTCACTGTCCCGGAATTCACTGTAAATCAGGCTGGCCTACAGTTCAGAGTTCCTATGTGTACCTCCCAATTGCTGGGATTGAGGGCCTGTGGCACCATGCCCAGCCCCCAAATTTAACAACTTTTCTAAATGTTGTAGGAGGACTCCGGCAATCCTTCTGAAGTCAGTAATTTCTTACTAGCTTCGTGATTTATCTGCCCACTAAACAAATTACTATGAATATTAAATGACCCAATAACGTAGAGACTTGTAAAATTCCCAAGCACTATATATTATTTAAACTTTCATTTTTCAATACTGTTTGCTAACTTTAAGCATCTTTTTAAACAATTTATTCAGAAATATTCAAACCTCGTTTAATACATCCCTCCAGACAAAGTAACAGTTCTGAATGATTTAGGCAATTGATCCCATTTAGAGCATTTCCGAATCCTACATAGAGGATACTTAGTAAATACTGCATGACATTCTTGATTAATAAAAGCCGTTGAGGCTGGACAGTGACTGCACCAAGGGAATTGCCTATGGTGCCTATGGAATTGCCTTCAACCCTTGTATCTCACAGAGTTCTCTGTGGCTTTAATGGGGCTATGGTCTAGCAGCTTTGCTAAGCCTCTGTGTCATTCTTCAACTGGTCCTGTAAATGATGCTTTTCTAACAGTACAACTCTCTAGTCTTATTGGGACATCCAAGACCCTTTACCTCTAAATATTGTCGCCTCTCAACCACACCTCAAGCGACGTAAGGCCTTTAGAGGACTCTCCACAAACTCACTAGAGCTAACAAGAACTAATTAGGAAAAGACTGGAGAAAAGGAGAGACTTGCTAGTTATAACATTTCATCCTTGTATGCGCCTAGCCCCAGGGTAGGCTGAGGAAGATGTTAAACTATATGCGGAGCAAGGTTGATTTTAGCTTCGATACTTTTGCTTACAGAGTGTTTTTGTTTTTAAGTATATGTGTGTCTCTGTGCATAAGTGATTCCCCCTGGAACTGGAGCTACTGTGGTTGTTGTGAACCAAGCAACATAAGTGGAGGGCACTGGACTCTAAGCCCCTCCAAGAACAGTACACGCTCTTAACTCCACTGATGCCTCTCTAGCCACAACCTCAATATTTTTAATATTGTCAGTATTTCCATTTTTGCTAAAAAAAAAATAATAAAAGCTAGAAATATAAATGTTTAAGGGTAAGCCTTAAATCTGCAAAACCATACACAAACTCTAACTACTTTTCATAGCCTAGACCACTGATCCAAACCATTGTCCTTCACAAACTAAATTTTTGTAGTAGCCTCCTTGTTTCCTTATCACTGTTTTCCATGAAGCATCTACATTAATGTTTTAAAATGTAAATCAGATCTTGCCTATTCTCAGGCCAGACTCCTAAAATGGTTCCCACTGTTATGCCCAAATCAAGGGGAACCCCCAAAAGACCCACCACGGAGGCCAAATCCCATATGTAAAAGCAAAAAGCCTTTATTTTTCAAGGTCCGAGCTTGGTCTCTCTGTCTGTCGGATGCAGCAGTGAGAGCAGACAGCCCCAAGCCTGGGTAGGGTGGGATTTTTATCATAGCAGAGGTTGGAGTGAGGGTATTTCCAGGGTTCAGGACCCTGATTGGCTGGCATTTGTCGCGGGGTATAGGGAATGTCTGGGCTTCTAAGCCTGTCATGGCAGCTGTGTAGTCAACTGTTTTGGAACACCCACACCCATCTTACCCACTTCAATGACAGCAAAACCCAAAGTAGTTCTAAGAGCCCACAAAAGGACCCAAGAACCACTGCCTTCCTTTCATTGGGGTTTCGGGCTGTCTCAGCTCCCCAGACTTTCATAGATGACCAACAGGAACGCTCCTTCACTTTCACGATGCCAACATAACCACGTCATCTAAACAAACATTACCTCCTGGCACACATTGTGCCTTTTCCTGTTTCAGTAATCTGCAGAACACTTAGCAGTGCTGCTTGATTTGTCTGCATTCCAACGCCCAATCGACATCACGTCCTGGAAGATTTAAAAATATTTTGGCCTGGGCTAGAGAGACTGCTCCAGCACTGACTGCTCTTGCAGAGGAAAAAGAATCCGTTCCCAAAACCCACATGGTGGTTCGCAATTGTTCTGAACCCCAGTTCCAGGGGATCTGAAACCCCCTCCTGGCCTCCTTGGGAACGTGGTGCACTAACACCCATACATATACATTTAAATTATTTATACCTGTAATACCCAGAGCACAGAACTGTGTCTGACGCTTGGTGTGTTCAGATTACTTTTTTAAGCCTCGGATACTTTTTTCTTCCTCAAACACGTTCTTAACCTCCAATAGTGTCTTTTTTTTTTTCCTTACCCACAGAAACCCTTGTCTTTAAAAATAAAGATGAGAGCCGGGCGGTGGTGGCACAGGCCTCTCACCTGAGTACTCGGGATTAAAGGCAAAAGCAAGCGGCAGAAGCAGGTTAATCTCTGAATTTAAGGTCAGCCTAGCCTAGAGGGAGTTCCAGGACAGCCAGGGCTACACAGAGAAGCCGTCTCAAAAAAGAAAAACCAAAAATGATGATGATAATAATAATAATAATAACAATAACAATAAAGATAAGCAGGGAGACAGCCAGAAGGCTGAGTAAACTGATTGCGGAAAACCTGCTAAACTGAGTTGGCTGCTTAGGTGGAAGGAGACCCAAACCCCATACATTGTTCTGATTTACAGACAGTAAATAAAGTTAAATGAAAATCACATTAACTCCATTAGTTTTCTTGATTTCAGAGGATAACCTTACAAGTTACTTGCTGGCCACGAAGAGCACCTTTTCTATTGTTTTTTAAAAAGGCATCAGGACATTTAACCACAAATTGTCCGGTGTACAGTACTCTCAAATCTTAGCACTCCTAGCTGAAACCAGATTCCTGAAGATACAGACCACATCGAAAATGTCAAAAGTGTGCTTATGTCAATAGTGCCTTAAGTTGTTTATTTATCCAACGACCAATCAACAAAGAAACTCGGATGTCTGCATAAAGCTTGCACAGTAAAACTACCCACGGTTTTATATTGCATCTGATGCCCGATTTTGAAAATCCTTCCCTTAATAAGCGAACACCAGTCCTCCACCATAGGTGTGCCAGAAGAAAAGCCGCCGAACGTCGAGTGGGTCTCCAGCACACTCGAGGCAGCCTTTCAAGCCTGGTTTCAGCACTCAGCACAGAAACTCAAACAACCCACCAACCACAGACCAGGCTGTGCGCTCGCTCAGCCACCGCCCTGCGCCTTTGTCCCCGGGTACGCCTTGGCAAAACTCTCACGCTTTGTCCGTGCACCTCGCGCCATATAAATACAGGGAACACACCAGATAACGATTTATCGTTCCTTGCAGGATGTGTGCACGCTTCCTGAACCATCGCGAACCTAGCACTAAAAACTAGATTATCACATAAGCGTGCCTATTTTTTAGTAGTAATGAAACCGCTTAACATAACGATAAAAAGCATTAAATATGTCCGCCCTTTTACTGCGAAGTGGGCGGCCCTGAAAAGGGCCTTTGGTTTTGAGAAATTAAACGTTTAATTGCAGCTCAGCCGCCGAAGCCGTAGAGCGTGCGGCCCTGGCGCTTGAGCGCGTAGACCACGTCCATGGCGGTGACGGTCTTGCGCTTGGCGTGCTCCGTGTAGGTGACGGCGTCGCGGATCACGTTCTCCAGGAACACCTTCAGCACCCCGCGGGTCTCCTCGTAGATGAGGCCGGAGATGCGCTTGACGCCGCCACGCCGGGCCAGGCGGCGGATGGCGGGCTTGGTGATGCCCTGGATGTTGTCGCGCAGGACCTTGCGGTGGCGCTTGGCGCCGCCCTTGCCCAGGCCCTTCCCGCCTTTGCCGCGACCGGACATGACTAAGCTGCTGTAGCTCAGACCTCAGAAGCAAGACAGAGGCAGGCACTTCCCTTTATATGCAGTGTCTGCGGACCTAATTGAAGACTGAAACCTGGAGCGCATTCGCCCCGCCCCTGGCATAGCCATGCCAGGTGACGTCACCAACGCTCGTGGTTCCCACTTCCGGAGCTGGGTCCTTTGTCCCAAAACAGGACTTATTGGCCATTTTAACTAGTTCAGAGTAAAGAATGTCTTTAATAATGCACATTTGCACTTGCTACGTATTAGGGCGACTGCAGAGCTTTGGTCAGTCAGACGATCAGAACTGTTGATACGGGGTGTGTGTGAGTTCCGCTTCCCATGGTTTTATCTCCTGCTGTAAAGGACCAAAGACTGGAGAGAACACAGCACCATTTCCTCCACGACCTCCACTTCAGAACAAACCAGACCCCAAAGTCTTGCTTCCGGCAGGTAAATGCGTGGTTGGTCACTAAGACTGTTACCAACTGGCGTGCTGAGGACAGTATCTGTATTGTCTTGTTTTCTCCATTGTCGAAAATTCGTGATTCTCATTTAAATATTTACCTGTCTTTCTCATCCACATCGAGTCACTTATTAGTATGCTAATATTTGCTACTCTAGTCCAAATTTTGCTTTCGCTTTGATTCGGTAGCGACATTATTCCCAACAAGTAGCACCCTTTGGGTAGACGAAGTTAAAAGTTCCCGTAGGCACTTACATAAAGTAGGCGTAGGATAGCAACTACAAAGCTAAGGGTTTTATTAGCACTCTCTTAACGTGGAGCAGAGTGGCGCAGCGGAAGCGTGCTGGGCCCATAACCCAGAGGTCGATGGATCGAAACCATCCTCTGCTATCTCAGTTTTTTTCTATTCTTTCCCCCAAGTACTTTAGGTTCCGTTCGTAGTGATGAAGTCAAATAGGTATCTGACTGGAAATAGGAGAAGAGACTGGAAATTTTTCATGGACGCTCAAGTGATAACTATGTTCTCTTGATAAGTAGATTTATTCTGGTTACTGTGCCCTAAAACGCCTAAAATCGCTAAACGAAGGCGAATACGAGGGTAAGAATGGAAGAGCATTTCAGTTTGTTTCATTACATAATTTATAGGGCTTTATTTGCCAAGGGTATAGTGATAGACTAGAAACCTATTGAACAGTCCCATTAGATATTCTTTGCAATTTCTACAGTCTTATTCTTGAAAGCAGTGGGTAGTGTTTTTTGAGAAAAGTGTGGAGGTGGGGAGTGTGTGGGCTCTTCAATTGAAGTCTGGCTGAGAAGGCCACTTCTGCCAACTCTGACGCTGTGTCTTTAATCTCTACCCTCCTGATACGTCTTTTGCGAAGCTATGCTATTCTCTACGCTTACTTTCTAAGCTGTCTTATATTTCTCTCCCAGGAAAGATTCCTGTTTAAATTTTATGTGTCAGATGCTGTCATAGAAATAAATAAGAAAAATGCATTAAGTAGCCTATAATCTAGATAAGTGTTTTGTTTTGAGTGACCTTGAACTGCTCCTCTTGCCTGTACTAACAGGGTTTGCTATGTTCTTTAAAAATAATTCTTTACTGGATCAGAAAACAGAAGTCCAAAGGCCTCTCTCCCATTAGGCTTTTGGGAATGGGTTGGTTTTTTTGTTTTTCTTCTCAGTGGGGGCTAAAGGTCAGAATCAACCTTGAGAATAATTGACAGAACCACCAAGCACTGGTAGCCTTGTTTTCTTGCCTCAAACATAAAAATACAATTTTTTTTTTAAAAGGTACTATTTGTGCCGGGCAGTGGTGGCACACTCCTTTAATCCCAGCAGTCAGAGGCAGAGGCAGGTGGGTCTCTGTGAGTTCGAGGCCAGCCTGATCTACAGCGCTAGTTCCAAGACAGCCAAGGCTGCACAAAGAAACCTTGTCTCAAAAACAAAAAAAGGAGGGCGGGATTTCTTGGGCCATGGTTGTGCACACCTTTGATCCCAGCACACAGGGGGCGGAGACAGGTGGACCACTGAGTTCTCAGGCCAGTCCCGTTTACAGAGCAAGTTCTAGGACAGCCAGGGCAACACAGAGAAACACTGTCTCAAAAAAAGTAAATTCATAATAATAAAGACACTACTTTTGGATCTGTGAGAACAAAACCAATTGTTTTCAGTGACTTGGGGGAAGTCTTCACATAACTCAGCATGCACTCCCAGTTTAAAGACTACAGCAAAGATTATAATACAGGAAAAGGCTGTCACAAAGGTGACTGTCTGGAGAAGGCTTCCTTGTCCTCTCCTCTCCTCCTCTTCTCTACAGCTGAGAGCTACAGTAGTATGTGTCAGCCACTGCTATCTAGTAAGGTCCACTGAACAGGAGTCAAAGTTATTACCGTGAGCTGGTTGCCTGGTGACCACACTCCACCAGTCATCCCTGTGTTAAATATGCCACCAGCATGGGTCATAGTGACTCCCTGCTTCGGGGATGTAGAATAAAATCACTACCCAGGAGCCACGTGAACATTCCCAGATTTTACCTTTCAGAGTGTGGTCAAGGATCATCACCAAGGCAGTTATCCACAGAACGAAGTGAAAATTCAGTCGAGCAGTTCTGCTCTGGTGGCTTTGCCCTGGAGTTATGGACCCCTGGGGAAAGACCATAGGCTCAATGCAGTAATGATTAAAAGATTTATTGATTAGCCACTAACAGGGCGAACAATCTCTGAGCCAAATTTGAGATTACCTTGAAGGAGGGGTGTGTGGGGAAGAATTTTTAAAGGGGAAAGCCACAAGAAGACCTTCAATATCTATGCAAACAAGCAAAAAACTGTTCTGTTTTGCCAAGTAGAGTGTTTAAAGTGACTCAAAAAAAAAAATCATGTATCTATATAAGTAACAAAGCAAGCAGTTAGTCATATAATTAAAAAAGAAAAAGGTAGTCATGGCTGTACACTTTTGGATGCGGGGGGTCGGGGGGGGGGGGGGGGGGTCACTGAATCAGGGTTACTGGGAACTTATCTTCCAGGGACAGGAGTCAGAGACAAATGGTGAGTAGGTGAGTACCAAGATGGATGGCTAGCATACAATGGAGTTTCTGTAGCCATCACACTGGTATTTATAGCCCAGAAAAAGGGGGGGATTTTGACAAGAAACTTGAGTAAGTAAGTAAGTGCTTCCTAGGCCGACAAGAAAAGCATTCTGGGCAAAGAAACAAACAGGACACAAGAGAGCAAAATGTTTCTAACTGTAATGATTCAGTGTGGAAGAGTTTGAAGGTGAGAGAGGGTTCTGGAAAGAGAGGTGGCGACACTCAGATCATCTGTCCAACCACTGAAGATGCGATGAAGTGTTAGAACACGGGACACCGAATACAGACTGGGTGGGTATATTTGGGGCTGTCAACATTCAGCTATGTAAGACTGACCCTCTTAAAATGGTCATCTCTGTCTTAACATTCCATATACAAACTTTGCAAAACGGATCTTAAACACACACACACACAACAAAACAAAACAAAAATGTCACCATCCCAAATGTTCCTCCAACCCACTCAATACAATTTTGGGGGGTGGTTGTTTGTTTGTTTTGCAGTTTTTTAATTAAAATGTAATTATATCACTTCTCCCATCCCTCTCCACCCTGCAGCTCCTTCCATTACACCCTCTCAACCCCTATGAAATTCATGGCCTCTTTCATTACTATTGTTATTACATATATATATAATATTATATATATATATATATATTACTTATATATAATATATATATATAAGCCTGCACATAAATACAACCTGCTGAGTCCATTTAGTTAACACGTACATTGTTGCAACAGCAGAAAGAAAAGTCTTGAAGACCGAGAAGACTTCAGCCATTCTCACTGCTTACACCACCCATTTCCCAAGGTAGCTAAACCACACTGCACATGCCATTTGAACGTCTGAGCAGCTTTTCAGGCAATCTTCAACTCCAGGAAGAAAGAGAACATCATTCTGTTGTGGGGTATTCACCAGAGCAGACTGCTCCTATTTGAGTTTAAGCCAATAGAAAATCTTATTTAGCCAGCCAGGGACTACAGTGTTATCAGGATCCCAGTATAGCCCCAAGCCTTTCTCAGAATGGGCTTTTAAGCACAGAAACCATGTCCTGGGTTGACATACTTCATTCAGTTAAGAAGAACAGTTAGCCAGAAGCAGAACTACAGAAGCCAAAAGGTAAGGTTAATACATTTAGAGACTTTCCCAGAACTATGGACTTTTATGGGTTAGGTCTTTGTTTTCATTTGGGCAGATGGTGCTGTGTACATGCTGAGTTTTACAGACTGAATGGCACTTCCACCATGGAGTCAGTTGTGCTAAGGTCTGGGGTCCTGTTACAATTCCGCAGTCAACTTTTGCAGAACTGAAGAATGTGTCTGTGTGACCTAAGCTCACCTGACACGTGACTGTGGGATTTCAGAACAAATGTGTGTTTAAAGAATTCACATTTCTATTTCATTCATGCTATTTTCCAAATGTTATTCTATTGACAGGAAAGAAAGGCTGCATAAAAGGCCCTGTTTCTGAACTCCAGTAACTGCTGTGTAGCGATCATGAAAGTATCATAAATTTTATGGATGTATCTTCTCTAAAATGATTTTAATGCATTTTTTGATCCATGAATTAAATGTAAAAAATGGCAACAGTCAAAATTCTTTTTATTCCTATTTCTCTTCTTAGTGAAAGCTAACATAAAAATAGTAATTAATGGCCTTAGACCTCTCAAGACACCAGAGGATTCCCCAATAAAACTACTGTTTTCTTTTTGAAGTGAGCAAGTATGTATCTTGAGAAGTGCTGTAACACCAAGTGATAAGAATCAGCAGAAGTCCCGGAAGAAGGTGGGAGGGTAGCTTTGTCTCGCGGGAGGGTCACACCCGCGAACCGGCAGGTAGAACCGAGTCTGTAAATAATGAGTGGGGGGAGCATGAACACGGACAGTTCTGAGTACATGCCGACGACTTTTCTCTCCGTGAACAGCCATGTGTTGCAATACCGAATTTATTCAGTATCAACATTTCCTAAATCCGACCCTTGTGACCCCCAATAATCGACGGAAATGCACGGAGTGGACCTTAGTTGCCTCTTATGATGTGCTGCCAGAGCGCAGCCAAAGTTTCTTTTACTTCCTAAAGCTTATGAGCAAAAGTCAGTACAGTGACCACGTGGCCTAATGGATAAGGCGTCTGACTTCGGATCAGAAGATTGAGGGTTCGAATCCCTTCGTGGTTAGTTGAGGTTTTTGCTTTGTTTTTTTTCCCCCTCTTCTTCTTCCCCCCCCCTCTCCCTTCTTAGCTCCACAAATTAAATTCTAACATCTGGTTTAAAAAAAAAAAAAAGCTGTCCCTCTCCCACACCCCGCATTTTCTGGGTTTTTCGAAATTTTCTTCCTCCTGTCAAAGTGAAAAGGAAGATTGTTTTTTTGTTTTTGTTTTGGAAGATAGTTTTTTTTTAAGGCCTTAAAGCAGTGGTTCTCCACCTTCCTAATGCTGTGACCCTTTAATAGAATTCCTCTAAAATTATAAAATTATTTCGTTTCTACTTCATAACTGTAGTTTTGCTACTGTTATGAATCGTAATGTAAATATCTGATATACGACCTCTGTGAAGGCGTCGTTCAACCGCCCAAAGGACCAAACCGACCCACAGGTTGAGAACAGCTGCGGGGAACTGGGAGAGAGAAGGACAAGAATCAAAACTGAAGAGGCCGTCAGGTATCTCGGGCTGCCAGGTTCTCCCAGATTTAGACTGTGGGCCTCTGGGCCTCAATTTTGTGGGGTTAAATTATCCCAAATGATCCCTGGCCCTGCTTTTTTGTTGTCTCAAAGACAGGGTTTCAAGTCGCACAACCTGGCCTCCTATCTCTCCCAGGCATTCGGGCCTGCTGCAGCATGCCTGGCAGAAATGGGAATTCTGATCCAAGAATACAAAATTGTGCCTGAATTGTGGGAGTCCAGCTCTCACCTTTGGAAGAGTTCTTAGGATGAGGAGACAGGGATAGGAAAATATCAGATAGAAAGAGACCTAGCCCACGAGAAGAAAACAAACACAGGACAGCTCAGGGAGGGCCTGGATCAATACCCAACGGCCTCAAAGGTTTAGTCAAAAGGCTTTTTATAACATGCCAAGGGCAGGGGCAAAAGACCTCCTCTTGCAAGATCAAAGCACACCGCTCAGCCAAGTGTAGACCCTTCCAAACACCTGCTAACCGTGCCCCTGACCAAATCATCTTCTTATGCAGCCCTGCTGGGTAAAGCAAGCTCAGATTCTCTCTGACCTTGAAACTAGGAAACCTCTGTGGGCTCCCACACTGAATCAAAGTATTTCCCATTTCCTTTTCTTTCTAATGTATAGATAGCAAAGGTTACAGAAAGAAAAAGCCTGTCCCACCCAGGAAGGCTGAAAAAGTAGAGCGATCTTTGATACCCAGAGACTTCAGTGGTCACCAGACACTAGAGATTTGTCACTAATTGAGAAAATGTCACATTTACGCCCTTTGATAAACACGTGAGACGTGCTGCTTTAAAATGGAGGTTCAGAAAAACAAGCCCTGGAGCTCTTGAGAGGTGAACGGAAAGTGAATGGAAACCGGTAGGGGAGAACGGGAAGAGGATAAAGAAGGGAAGGAGAGAGGGGAGGAAACGGAGAGGGGGGAAGAGAGGGAGGGAGGGAGGATGGCAAGGCAGACATTCCAGAATCAACTGATAGTACCAGCGTAAACTAGGAACACTAGCCAATAGCTAAATGTCCTGATCACAGACCCGTCCCGTACCTCCCACACCCACTCTGTGTGATGACCACTTCTTTCCAACCAAAACCACAATCCTACTTAATCGTTTTAGCTAGATAAAAATGACTAAGCTCTCCAAGAATAGTTTCTAAGTCGATTGATTCACCATGACGGTTTGCCTTCTTCGTTGTAATAAACCAATAAATTCCAATTTGCCTAACTGAGGATATGTTTCTGTTGGTCTTTGGAAAGAGGAAGTGCTAAGAGGAAAACTGAGATCAAGTCAAATATGCAGTAAAAGGTCAGCAAACGGAAACTCAGTGGTACTCGCTTAGGGTAAACAGACACTGGGTTCCACCTGCGGCACCATAGGCTCCTCCAACCACGTGCCTTGTTCTTTACCCAAGAGAGTTGGGAACTGCTGCTCACCGAAACCTGCACGTGAATATCTAGAAGTTCATCCATAACTTCCGAGACGTAGATCTGCGGCCAGGCTTTTGTGGGTCTTGAGCATCCTCACAATTCCTACAGCCAAACAATACTCCAGCGCAGCCACCTGATGGCACTAGAGAGCCACCTAAATCCAGCAATTTTGACCTTTTTTTCTTTCCGGTTCAGGGAATCGACCCCCCGGTCCCGGGCCTGGCATATGCTAAGCAAGTGCTCTTGATGGTGACACAAATGACGAAGGCTCAGTCGGCTGCCTTCCAGGAAACACTTTCCTGTGATCCACTGCTACACCAGACCAGGAGCCGGTGGGTTAAACATCTGAACACGGTCTTCACAAGACTCAACTGTATCAGTTTTTTCCAACTTACCATCTTTTAACATTGCTGCATTTTCATTTATTTGGGGGACATTCTGAACTAAAGGACAGTGTTCAATGTTCTTTAAAGATAAGTGGAAAAAATATAAAATACTGACGAGCTTTCTCGGCCTTTTCATTGCAGTTTTTCTATAGAGTTTGTATATTGTTATACAACACACACTTTGTACATTTCCTTACTATAAATTTGAATGGTCTGATAGTTTTCTATTTGGGGATAGCATTGTGTGTGTGACCAATCTCTTATTCATTATGTTACTAATAGTTACGGTTCTAGGCAGTGCTGCAGTACACATTCCTACAGCCAGTTAGTATTTGCACATTGCAATGACCTGCACATTTTAGAGATTGACCTAACTGGATCCATTACGGGGAGAAGAAACAATAGACGCACATACAGAAAAGCTGGGGTGGGGTTGGTCATGCACTCTGATGAAGATACACCAACAGCAGGATCCAGGAAGTTTGGTGGGTTTGTTGTCTAGAGCTGAACAAGGAATCAGTTTTATCTTATTTTGTTAAGAATTCTCTATAGAGAGCAGTCTTACGCTGTAAACATCCAGGAGAAGGGAGGTGTGGTTGATAGTTTCTGCAATGTGATGGTTTTAGCTCAAGGGAAATCCTTTCTTAAGGCCAGTATGTGGACCAGGAGAAGGCTTTTCCATTCCTGGGAGCCTCACTCAGAGAATGCTTTGCCATTCCCATGGATCTGAAGCATCAGAGTCTTTGACATGGCCTTACACTTGTCAATGATACACATTCACTCAGGACTTCATCTCATCCATACCACTTGCCCTGTGTCCTTTATAAACGAATCCCAGAAACTGGCCCCTGAGAGCACTTCCTACATGTGTCCTGGTGTCATTCTTGATAGTTTTTTTTTTTTTTGGGGGGGGGGCGTGTTTGGTTTGGTTTGGTTTGGGTTTGGGTTTGGGTTTTTGAGACAGGATTTCTCTGTGTAGCCCTGACTGTCCTGGAACTCACTCTGTAGACCAGGCTGGCCTCAGACTCACAGAGATCCACCTGCCTCTGCCTCCTGAGTGCTGGGATTAAAGGTGTGCTCCACCACCACCCAGCTGATAGTACATTTTTAATCTGTAACTTGCTTTTGAATAAAATCTCCTTTAGTCTAAAGAGTGAAACCTAAATAAAATAAAGTGAAATAAGCAATGTAATTTCTAGATTCAAAAGGACATATAATGTCAAGGCTGACTGGGGACTCAAGGTGATCCTCCTGCCTTAGCATCCCCAATGCTGGGATTATGAGTGTTAGCTACCAAGTCAGGCTCTAAACTTCCGATGAAAACTAACAATGGTCTTCTGGAAAAATATCTCTAATTTATATTCCCTTCAAGAGTAAAATTCGCTTTTGGGCAGGTAAATGCAAACCTATTATACTCATTTTTATTTTTAGAAATGATTTAGGAGCTGAGCATTTGTCTCAGTGGTAAAGCACTTACCCATCATTGAATGAGGCTTTGAGCTTTATACTCAACAATACCAAAAGAAAACAATAGAGAAACAAATTATTCGGACATGACTTATTGTGTATATTGTATGCTATGTGCTGATACCAGCAGTGTCCACTAGTAACAGAAGACACACTTCTGGTGTGATAGATCTTCAGTGCCTGAACTAAGCCTAGCACCGAGGGTCAGATATTCAGTCCTCTATTGAAAGGTGAATGGGTGCTGCTGTTGCTGAGGCTATATTTGGGTCTCACTTTAAGAATCCAAACGAAAACACAGAGAGCTGTAGCAAGCAATGGCCATTGAAAATGAAAGCAGGCGCAGTCAGTCACAAAGGCACGAATGGGCCGTCACAAAGCGGTGGGGGTGGCCAAGAGGGCCTGAGCTCTTAGGGTTTTACCTACCTTGTCCACTCTATTCTCTAAGGCACCCCTTCTTGAATAGGTTAAAATGCCTTCCACAGGTTTACTCAGATTTGGGTTGTTCTCTCTCCCTCTCTCCTTCTCCCTCTCTCCTTCTCTCCCTCTCTCTCCCTCTCTCCCTCTCTCTCTCCTTCCCCCCTCCCTCTCTCCTTCCCCCTCTCTCTCCCTCTCTCCTCTCTCCTCTCTCCTTCTTTATGTAGCCTGGAATCCATATTTAGCCAAGAATGCTCTTGAACTTCTAACCCACCTTCTTCCACCCACTGGGATTACAGACAGGCACTACTGTGCCTGGCTTTTCTCTTTGATTTTTTTTAATCATGATGGAAGGCTCAGAAAGGCAAAACAGTGCCCACATCTACCACCCTACTTTCTAACATACAACACATTTAGGTACAATTCACACGTGCGCACGCGCAATATCTATAAGCATTTATTTTATAAATATCTGTTGCATGTTTGATATGTGTAAAGTTTAAAAGAGAAAGAGAAAAAAGTCAACTTCCGTTGTGCCTCCTTTTCCCTGTAAGGTGAAGGTAGAGGCCAGGGTGTGACTACTCAGGTGTCCCTGACATCGAACATCTCTGGGGCAATGTACAGCACCCACTTTGTGAAGAATCCAGACTGCCTCCAGTCAGAACAGTCACCGCCTATGCATTCATTTACAAAATCAATCTGGACAAAGTTTATAAGCTGTCTTCAAGCCACATATACTGTACATAAGACTATATATATATTCGCTGCCTTGGAACTCGTTGGAAAGACTTCAGCCCTGCAGCTGATGGGTCTGAAACAACTCTACCTCAATGTCCTTATCTGTAAAAGAGACAAAGGACAAAGAGAAGAAATTTTTCAGAGACCATCTTTATTAGTGGCCCCATCAATTTTGTGTTTCTGCTATGGGTGGGCAATCTTTTGCTGCGAAAGCAGGTAAGTGGTGTTTTTTCTGGGACACTGCTAAAATTAAGATGTAAGTGTAAGCAGATGGAAGGGAGGAGACAGACTGCGATGCCTGAGACGGTCTTTCTGTCGGAGGAAAGTCAAGGTGAAGGCTACCACTGATCAGAATCTCACAAGTTGGTGGTTTTTTGTTTGTTTTTTTGTTTTTTTTTTTTGTTTTTTGTTTTTTGTTTTGTTTTGTTTTGTTTTGTTTTGCCAAAGGAGAGCAAAAACTACCAGTATAAGGAACGTCATGCCCAGAAACAGGAAGGGAAACCGCTTCTAAAAGGCAAAGTCAGTCAGGAAACAGTGGAAGGGCAGGGCAGGGAAGGAGTGGATATGGGTGAGGCAACTTGGTAAAAACATGCCTGAAGTCTCAAAAATGCAAATTTGAGCAAAGAGAAGCATACGTGAAGACAATGGAAGAAGAGAGCGCGTGGACCACGCGGTTCAGGATGTCTTCTTCACCACGGCGGTGCTAAAACCTCAAACCCACGCAACAGCGGGAGAGCTGAACGACGAGGATGGGATTCGAACCCACGCGTGCAGAGCACAATGGATTAGCAGTCCATCGCCTTAACCACTCGGCCACCTCGTCATCCCTGTTGGGGTGTTTTGATAGATAGGATGTTGTGTTTCCTCTGACTTGGTTTTTTTGGGGGGAAGAGAGTTGGCGTTTTCTTTGGGTTTGGGGTTTTTTGGGGGTATCCATTAGTTTTATTTGGCTTCTTAGTTAGACTGTTTCTTGCAATCCCTGTCACGTCATCGCATATGTCATTGACGAAACCAAAGCTTTCGCTGTCTGTAAATGGCTCTCTTAGTTTGATTAAAAAAATAAAATAAAATAAAATAAAAGCAAAAATAAACTGCTGGGAAGAAGTGGATCTAAGTGAAACCACAGCAGGAGAAATGAATAAGGAAGACTATTTATGATGACTCTCGTTTTAAAACTCAAACTGGATTTTTTCATTTCTATGTGGTCATGTATATCAATGCTATCATCATTTGGATTATGATGCATCCCTCCTTGCTCCCAAGTAGGCATCTAATATGAATAAATGCCTATCATATGACATAATACTTGACTCCGAGGAGCCCAGGTAGGATATGAGTGAAGAACTGGGGTACTCAGCTAAGTCATGATTGGTTCTTAGCGTCAGACGTCAGACTATAGACTTTGAGACACAGAATTGCAAGGCTATCTGAGGGGACTTTGTTTTGTTCATTTTATAGAGGAAAATGTGACAAAGCTGGTCATTTGGTATTGCCTTTGATACATTTCTTATTGTTATTTATTTCTACACTACACCAAACCAAGCGAAGATCATCAGGGGCACATTTGCAGTCAGATGAATTGGATTTGTTGCTCTGTGGGTAGGAAGAACACGTATCACGAGAAACCTTGGAAGACTCAGCAACATGCTGGAGTAAAGGGCTTTGTAGCATTTGTGTGTGGAATTCGTGATTGGAGGAAGGTGCAAGCAAGGTGCCTCATTCTACATTGATACTACCAGGTAAAGTGTTCAGATATCTAATCACTACAATTTTGTAACTGATACACTAAGAAATTGTTTCATCTTTTAAAATGATGTTTGTGTAACCAATGCATTTGCTGTAGAAGGTAAGAGTGGAAAGGAAAGGATGTAAAATGTGATGATCTCTCTTTACTAGTTGTCAGGAGATATTCAGTGACTGTTTGATCATCCATGCTTAGTCGGGATATGGAGAGTTTTGCTATTGTTTGGTCAAGTTTCTACCTCATTTCAGCGAAGCAGAAACATCAGTGTGGAGACGCTGTGAAGTCACAGAGGTTCAAAAGACAAACCTTAGGGCCCAACTGTGAGTGTCAGGCTAGCTCCTGAGATCCAGGACCAGTAAACAGTCACACCTGTCTCTGAATACCAGAGAATATGTGTCTCTTTTTTCATCTATACCTGAACTCATTATTCTATTTTTTTTAAGTGTGTGTTTTAACATGACCTAGTGCAGAATAAATAGAGATGGGACTAGTGCTTCCTTTACCCAGAAGAAAGAGCAAGGAACTAGGATTTGTTCCTGAGTAGAGGAATTGTACATCTGAGGGTGTATCTTCCTATGCATACCAGGTATACTCCTGATTTGGGCGAAAATTAAAAGCAAGGACACCAAAACAGACAGAGCCACTGAGGCTTAAAGTCCAGGTGCTAGAGACATTATATCCTGAATCCCTTGAGTTGGATAATTACTGAAAGACTGCCATACACCTTTAATAGACAGTTAATCTTCTAAATGATGCCAG